TGTTTCTGTAAAGAGTCAAATTTAGCAAAGTAAGAGAAATTCATTGGTATCATATGAGTACTGCTTGTTTTTTTGTTTTGTTTTTTACAACTAAAGTTAAAACAGCTCATTCTCACTATTGACTGATGCCTTGAAAAAGCTGGTTTGGCTATTCTGAGATCCTATTTTGTGGTTTAATAGAACTAGGGCTTGGAATTACATTTGTTCAACATTATGCATCACATAAGACAAAACTTTTTGTATGTCTAAGACAAGAACCTCTATTACTTATTTCTAATCACAGTTTAAGAATCATTAATCTGGACAAATGAAATCAGTCATCATTCTGCTCAAAGGTGAAAATCAAATTAGATTGGATTGTTGCCCAGTTCTAAATTTTTTGTTTAATTGATCAACAAAAAAATGATCTTATACTATTTTGATAATCATAACTGTTGGAATCACTTTTCAGTCAAAAACGTCAAACAACTGTTTGTTCCAGCTTCTCAAATGTGAGTATTTGCTGATTTTCTTTGACCTACATGAACGCAAACTGAACATCTTTAGGTTTTGGGGTGATAAGTCTGACAAAACAGACGATTTAAATGTCAGACACTTAGTAGATTAAACAATAACCAACTATTTAACAAAATAACTGATGCTGATTAACAATAAAAATAACCGTTGATAGCACTAAATTAAAGTGTCATGGTCTTTAACAAAACACGTGCAACATATCAGTATCATCTCACAACAGTGAATAAATAGACATTCGTATTTTATGTTTAAACGTTAAATAAAAGCTGAATAATTCATTGTGAACAATAAAATATACATAAACGAGGCGTGACCAACACGCTGCCCAGCAATTTCACACCCACTGATTTCAGGCCTGTCAATCAAGTGGCCCAAACCTGTAGCTCTCTGTCAAAACACGTCTCTAGATTACAGCCGGAGTCTATTTACAGATAGATAATTAGAAAACAAATCCACAAGGAGCTGTCTTTAGGGCTCGCTCGTGTTTGTACTACAGAATGATTGAGATAAACTAACTAACTTTACACGATAAAGATGCAGCCTTACCCACTTTTTGACGCAGGGGCGTAAGCTAGTTACCTGAAGCTCAGGCTGTCTAGGAACGTAACCCGTTAAATCAAGTCTTTCTCAATTACATAACCAAACAGGACAACACGGAAACGTGTTTGTACGTAACGGAGCAGCCTTTCACCTTGTGAGCCAACCAAAACATTCGTAATTGTGTTTTTAATCCGGTAATAGTGCTGCTTTCTCTTCTTTTTGTCTGCCGCTTCCTCATACAGTTCCGTGTTAGGTTTGAGTGCGATGTGGCGGACCAATGAGGCGAGGTGACGTCCGAAAGGCTGTCCAATAGGAGCAGAGAATGAGCTGGAGGGCGGAACAACTCGGCAGATAGAAGGGTCTGTCTTTGGGGGGGGGCGATGATTATTATAGGAGAGGGCACATTTGGACAAAATTACCTGCATTTAAAGCTCTTTGTATGTATGATAGACAATTAGCAAAGTAGAATTATAATCGTGTAGAACAATTACTACGATCAACACTGGAGCATACTGTAGGTAGGTATGTAAAATAGAAAAAAATGTTTGGAAGCACCTGTAATGGATAGTAAGTAAAAGTTAATTTACTCTAGTGTATTTTTTTTAGATTAATTTGACAGCTTTAATTAGTCCAAAATATATGATTATCTTGTCTATCATATGATGTATGATTATATGTTAAATACCCAATGACTGGATGTCAGTTTGATTAAACACTAATTTTATTTAGGAGTATGCATCATGTAAGCACAGTATAAACTAAAATTTGAGGCCCTCTCGACAAGACAAGCCAATCATTTTGGGTAACAAAGAAGGACCCATCTTAGTTGATATGCTAATGTTGCAGATTCATGAAACAATTGAAATTTATATAATTAAATGCCACTAATTCACAAACCGTGAACATGGAAGCAGTTGTCCTCGTTGCCCTGGTTTGTAGTCCAGCCTTGCCCAAAAATAACAAACACATATAATCTTGTTAAATTAGCTCTATCATGACCAACTGCAACATTAAAATCATGTTAAAAATTAGCCAATAATGTAGAATGAGTAGCTTACTTTTGTATGTACATTTTGCTGATAATACTTTAACTTAAGTAACATTTTGAATGCAGACCTATTACTTTTAATGTAGAATTTTTACACTGTGGTATTACTTCTTTTACATAAGTAAATCTGAGTACTTCTTCCACCACTGATTATACATTAGCTAGTACCAAGTAAAAGTACCAATACCACGCTGTAAAAATACTTCATTGAAAATGTTAAATAAATAATAGTATCTAAGGTAGGTGGTTGTGGTAGGTGAGGTGGAGCATATTTTGAGCTATTTTGTATCAGACTGCAACTAATGAGTATTTTCATCATTGATTAATCTGCCGATTATTTTCTCCATTAATTGTTTGATTTGTGAAAAATTCTGAAATAGTAAGAAATGCCTTCACAGTGCAGAACCCAAAGTAACACACTGCTTGTTTTGCCAACCAACCGTCCAAACCTCAACATTATGAAAAAATAAATTAAAATGGGCTATGGCTGCAGAACATTGACTGTGAAGCCATGAGTTAAGAACATTTTACAAGGTCCTCAAAAGAAAGTCCAAAAATGTAATTACATTATTAAAAACAGGCTGCCAACGCTGATAATGTCTTCTCAGGACTTCAGTCAGGCCTCTGAGGCCATATTTAAAATGTTCTGGCTGATATTGTACAACTGTATGCTAACAAATACAAACAAAAATTCAAGAAAAAGACTACTTTGGCTATTTAGTTGAACTTTGACCTGACCAAGCAGTTCCTCCCTTCTATGTTTTATGAAAGCAGCTCCTCCCCTATGAGTAAAAACAAACTGGCATTTATGTATATATTATTCAAAAACACACACAGGCCTTGATGAGGAAAACCTTTAAAAAGTTGACACTAACTGTGCAGAAAAGCTGCCAGCCAGAAGACCTGCTTGGCCTCAGCAAGTATAGGATGCCCACACCTATAAGGTCAGCACTGTGGCCCTGATTGTTGATCAGGTGAACACTGGGTGGTCAGCATTTCTTTCAATAACAGGTGTGGAGTCTGAGGTTTGAGTGACACTATTAGAAATTAAGAAGGCCACATACCAAGATAGTTTTTGTTGCTTTTTAATAGTTTTTTGCTTGAAATGAAAAGATTTAAGCATACTATTGTACAATATCAGCCACAACATTTTAAATATGGCCTCACCACCTGACTGACGTCCTGAGAAGACATTCTCAGCCTTATGTTTTTGGACTTTCTACAGGCCTGCTGCTCTTGAGAACCTCAAGTGTTACCTTATGGCTTCACAATCAGTTCTGCAGCCATTGCTCGTATATTTATATTATTACATAATATTACATGACGTTAATTATTGCCATGGATGTATGCTATACAGCGGTGCTCAAAGTTTCTGAACCTTTTAGAATTTTCTGAATTTACTGGCTTCCTGTCTCACTCAGGATTGAGTACAAGATGTCCCTCCTTACCCATTAGTGCATCCATGGTGAAGGTGAGATTGTACATTCAATGCCTTTGAACGCATGTGCTATATATGTTGGATAAATGTTGTATGGAAAGACTTGTATGGATTCTCTTCACTTGCATGACACCAATGGGAGTGTTGTATTACACACTGGAATGTGTATGGAGAAGAAAGATTCACACAGTATAAAGCACACTGGTAAATCCTTCTTTTGGCCAGATGGCCTACATTAGGACATTTCTGATGTGAGTTTGTTGTCAGAGCTGCTGAGAAGCTGACAGCAGTGTTAGAACCAGGTTAGAACAGAAGGGCATGCAGGTTTAACTCTCTGGGCTGAGGGTGAATGATGAAGATGATAACTAGGCTGCAAATAAAACATAAATATCAAAAACCAAATGAAATGAACAACAATAAATCCATCTATATCAGTAATCTTGATTCAAAACATTTAATAAAGACACAGTACAGGCCTTCAGTTAAATACTGCCACCTGCTGGTAGAAAGGGGAAACAGCTTGGTTCATTACGGTGGAAACCACATTAAATATTTATTTAATATTAAAAATATAGCGCTGACAGTAACAACTCTGCACACACAATCATTTCTTAGGTTAACCTATATTAGCCTATCAACTGTACTGCACCAAACAATACGCTTAAAAAAAACGTGACTCTTGTTGTTTACATGAATAAAAGCACAATATTATAGTGCATGTAATCAGCTGCTGTTTTTCTCTCGGTCCAAGTTTATTTATTTATTTATTTATTTTCATCTAACATCATCCTGTTCTAACGTTAGTGCTGCATAATACTACAGATACAGCAGTTCTAAAAGCTTGGCTTTTATTTTAATATCTATACTCTTACTTCCGGGTCACCTGGCTCACCGGTCTTTCTTTATAACGTCTATCTTCAAACGGAAAATGAAAATAGGAATTTCATAAAACCAAAGTCGGACCGTTATTTGAATTTGGTTTAGTCATTTTTCGTTTTTGGATTTAGAAACCAAAAACGGGAGAACGGTTCTTTTTTTTCCGTTTCTTCGTTTTTGGTTTGAAACGACAAACGAAAAAAATGTGGTTTATTCGTTTATTGGTTCAAACGAAAAAACAAACTATCAAAACGTACACGGACCAAAGTACAAGTACTTTAAATGTGTAGCCTATTTAAGTACAGTAGCCTACATGAGTAAATGAAGGGTACTTTACTGTTCAACACTGTAGAGCAGGCATAATGTGTGTGCAGACGGCAGACTGAACAATAGTTATGTAGGCCTACAGAGTACATACTTTACAGAAAACAGTTGCAGTTGAACAGCATGAACACTGACTTTCTAACTTTCCTCCATTGAGGCCAAACAGACTGAAGTCCACCGTAATTACACAGTAAACATCCCTCTGGCTGGACCAACATCGATACCCTGCTGTCCAATGAAAGGCAGCGACAAAACCCCACCAGACCAATCAAAAGTGGAAATCTGACTTTTAACACGTCGCGTTGACCAGGAGGACAGAGTTTTATTTTGTGAAGGTTGAAAGGAAACAGAAGCAAGCCGACAGAGGTATTTTATCAACATGGCGCTGCCGAAATGGGAGAGAAAAGCGCGTATATTTCTATGCGTTTTTGGCTTGTTTTTGTCTGTTTATGCGCTCCACGTCGAGCTGTCCCGAGAGAGAAACCCAGATTACAGGGCGATGTGCGACCTCGGGGAGTCTGTGAGCTGCTCTAAAGTTTTTACCTCCAGGTAACGTTATGTTTTTATTCCTCGTGTTGTTTGTTCACCTCATACCTGCTCTGTTGTGCAGAGTTGCAAAACCTCGACTTGTACTTTAGTGACCATTGTATCAGTTCGCACAGTTGTTGCCTGTAAAATCTGATTAATTCATGGCAGGTCCGAACCCCTCCCTTCATTGCCACGTGTAAAATCCTCTGGAAGTGCTTTACTGCAGCTACTATTTTACATTATGAGAACACTAAATGGATAATCATCTTTTGAAATTCATATATTATCTGTATTATGGAATATTTTTATATGAGTTAGGCTATATGCTAAATGTGGGGTATAATCATTCAAGAATGTGTTGTTCTGTTTGTCTTTTTCTTTTTTTGACAGATGGGGACGTGGTTTTGGCTTGGTCCAGTTCTTTGTTGCCAAAGATAGCCCTCTGAACCAGCCCAACAGTGTGCTTGGCATCATATTTTATACTCTGCAGATGGGCCTTGGTTAGTCTGTCATTGTCTACTGGAAATTACAGGCAGGGCTAAGTGGTTTTAGACAAGATAGTCACTGTTTGCAATCCAGCATATCAGTGAACCATGGCTGGCCCTGCATTTAAGCTAAATTCAATATTGCATACTCTTTTAGTTGAGATACGATATATATATTTACCAAATATTGCTTATGTATGTTTTATTGTTGGACTGAACTCCTCTGTGTTTGTGTGTTTATTGCAGGACTGTCTCTGTCCAGAAAAGCTGCTATGTTTTTGGTCTTCTCCTCCTGGGTGTCTGTGGCTGGCTCACTCTATCTTGCATCTATTCTCGCCTTTGTTCTGGGGGACTTCTGCATGGTGTGCGTGTCAACATATATTATCAACTTTGCATTGCTCTTCACCAACCTGAAACGAAGGAGAGCAATTGAAGGAATGAAGGAAAAGGCTGGATAGAAATTGTCACTCGTGAAATCCAACACCTTCAAGTCGCACTGGATCTGAACAGCAAATTCAATCCCACAGATTTTCTGCATTGTTTACAACTGTTAAGACTTTTCAGAGAACCACAACTGGATGTCATGAAGATCTAAAGCATTATTTTTAATGCAGAAATGTCATCATGCAGCAGTTTTTGTAAATCAATGTGCATTTTTTATGTTGATTACACACTTTTGAATTCTATCTCTTATCTCGTGATTTAAGCCTGGCTAGTGAAGACAACAAAAATCCTTTAAAGTGGATAAACACTAAAATCACTAGATGTTAAAGCAATACATAATCATGTAGTTACTCAGTCTAACCATTAGATGGAGCTGAATCCCCAGGTTTACCATTTATCATTTATTTTCATAAACCTGAAGGAATAGCAAGGCCCCTACTGTAAAATAAAGGTACCTCATGGAATTAGCTTGTAACTCTAAGAATCACAGGTTCACTCATTAAGTTTTTGTGAGCTGTATTATTTAGACACATGCCAAAGCGTGCCACTACGGCTGATAGTGTCTCTTAAATCCTCTAGCAATGCTGCCTGTTGAATGCAGCTTCACTCGAAAGTAACCGCAGGGCACACAATGACAGTGAAAATGTAGTTCCCTCAGTGGTATATATTCATTCTTGCTTTATTTTGTTTCATGACAATTCATTAAATCTTGTGAGACGTGAATCATTTGCACTTCTTTAGATCATGCTGCCATTACATCTTATACAATTTCAGTTCATCATCAGTAGTTGCGGATGTCAGACAAACTAACTCTCCTATAGTTTACTGTGAAAGTCATCAAAGAAGCTGTTAATGAACCACATTGTGCATTGTCCATACTGCTATTTTATCTGAATTTATATGAGAATTGAAAAACTGTGTACAGAGTATAACAGTGTACTGATATTTGGTTGATACACCATCTTGTTAAATAAAATAAAAAAACAACGATTTGACCTCAGTAAAGAGAAATGAAATCGAACAAGATTGTGCCTTCTCTGTAAAGGCGTATTTCTTAACTGGAAAATGTGACTCCTACTTGCTGACCACTGTGCTACAATATTATTAACATTTGTAGATCAAGTTAGAAAGTAGATGGGTAAAGCAACTTTAACTAACTGAAAAATAATTAAATCAGCAATTGCATTTAGAATAACGATATAGATATGCATAAACAGTATTTTTTTTAATCGATGCCACAGCCCTTATAAAAGTGCACGTGAAGTGGCCATGTCAAGTTCTGAATAACATTTTTTTGATATATGCAGTGATTTAACAGCTGTGCACGTCAAAAATGCCCTTAGTTACCTAAAATAAATGTTTCAGCAGTTGTCCATCAAGTGTTGCTTCTTCATACCAGTTGACTTGCAGTGTGCACAGATGGCAGACATACAAACAAAGACTTTACCACAACATAACCAAACTAACATCCATGTCAAATTTTAACTTCTTTTCTCATTGTTATTCAATTTTCTTGTATTGTTGCAATGACAATAAATATATTTGATTCTATTCATGATCCCAACCTGTCAAATTACTACTCGTACTCTAACTGTTTCACATAGTTCACTTCCTCATTAAGTGGTTTTCCACAAAATCATGTTGATTCTTAGTAACAAGTGACTCAGTAACGAGTTATGTTCAGTGAAGGGAAGTAACTAAATAAGCTTACTGTACGTAAACCATAGACTGTATATTAAAACATTAAACACAATTTTGAGGTACTTGTACTTGAGTATTTCCATTTTTTGATACCTTATTCATTTATTCATCATAGGTTAGTATATGCAACATATAAAGTAATTCAAATTAGCACCACCTTTACCAGCTGCAACATAAAAGTGATGTAAACATGAATACATCAATAATCATAATCCATTATTAAAATATACATTCTGAAATGGGCCCTACCACATAATGAATTTTGGTATTTTAAGCATATTTTGATGCCAAAACATTCGTAATTTTACTTAAGTAAAATTTTGAATGCATGACTTTTACTTTTAAGGTGGGTTCCTGGGAGATGAATACCTGGCGCTATATAATAATCTTTATAGTGAGAGCACAAAGATCAGTCTCAGGGTGCTGAGGTAGAGGGGCTACGCACATACTCATAGATCTGTAGTTACATCCAGATAACTAAACCCCCACCCCACTGGAGTTCACAGGCCTGACTACAGCTTTCTCTGCTTTCTGCCTTCTTTTAATCTTTCACCAACAGGACTGCTCTGTAAATTTATTTCTACATTTCTTATTGCTACTTTTACTTAAGTAAAGAATCTCAGTATTTCTTCCACCACTGGTTGTGTTTAATCTGTCAGGTCACCATGACAAAACTGCTTGTCCTCTTTACAAATGATGACCAGAGACAATGGGTGACTAAAGAAAGACAGTGGTCTGGTGTGAAACTGAACATTAAGGCAATTTCGAGCCCTCGAAATAAAGTAACAAGTGATATCCTAAACTTCCTTCATTTGCTGTGCGAATCTCTCTCTAAGTTTAATTTAATCATCCATTGCAAGTGGTTCCAGATTATTTTGTGACATCAGTATTTGGGATAGACCGTAACATGTGAGATCAAGAAAGGTACAGTAAAAGTCTCCCTCAGCAAAATGTAAGAAATGTTTTGGTAGTTTGCTTTCCGCAAAGTCACTGCTAAACCACAACGTTCTACCGTTGACACTTTTCATGTCTCTTTTATCACTTCCTCAAGTGAGTCATGATCAACCCAGCAGTTTAGACATATCACCACATTTGGTGTACACAATGTGTATTTGACAATTCTTTATTTTTATTTCCTGTGTTTTCTCTGCCCCCTCCTCCTCTGTGTGTGTGCGCTTTAGTTAGAGTTTATTGTTGGAGAGTTGTCTTATTTGTTATGTTGTTAAAATAAATGGATTGACTTATCCAAGTTCAAAATATTGAAAGTTTATTATTTTATTTTTCAGTAACAAGGAAACAGCACACATACTGAAACAACCAAAGCTTTTTAAATAAGAATTAAATGAGGATCAGGGCGGCCTTCTGCTGTGCAAGTCAGACTCATCTTGGTTCCAGGTGGTCTTTGCCAAAACTTCGGGTCCTTGTTAAAGGAGAAGGTTATCGGCATGCCATCTCCTATAGTAGCTGCAATCCCAATTTGACTGACCACTTTGATTTTTTTTTCTTGCAAGATACTCGTGTCAAAACTGGTAACAAGGTTGCATCAATCATTTCCAATAAAGGTTATATTTTTAACAGCAACAACTGTTACATGTAGTGTGGGGACAGAGAGGACCCAAATGCAAAGTTCGAAGGGAAGGAGGTTTATTGAGGGGGAAAAGGGGTAGAGGGACTGGAGTGGAGGGAGAGGTGGATGCCGGGGAAACACAGGCACGGGGAACCGAGGAGACTGGGACCAGGGAGCCGGGGAACACTGGGGCCGAGGAAGCGAGGGAGAACAGGGAGGACGCCGTGGGGGAAGTCCGAGGTGGAGAGTACCGGTGGATGAGCCCAGCCGACTGAACGGAGGACGAGGGTGAGTGAACCTGGGAGGGAAACAGACAGAGAGACCAGGTTAGGGATAACGGAGACAAAGCACAGGGAAAATGTGAGGAAACATGAAAGCCTGAACACAGAGGTGGCACCGGGTATGGAGCAACGACGATCAAGCAAGAGTGGTGTGGAGAACCGGGGTTGAAATACAGGCTGGGATGAGGTGACTACTGGCAGGTGTGGCAGGCTGACGAGGTGGCTGATGAGGTGCAGGTGCAGGTTGGCTGGGCTCAGGAACAGAGAGAGAGAGAGAGAGCACACAGGGGAGAAAACACAGGGAGGCAGGCAGAGAACAGAAAACCAAGGAAAAAGCAAAATAACTGATAAAAAGGAGAAAAAAAACAGGACACTCACAGTCAGCCGGGCTGCCACCACAACAACAAGGGTATTTTACTGTAGTGTAATGACATTTTAACGAACCATAGCTGAATGCAGGGGTTGGCCGGTGCCTTTCTTTATGATAATTTCGTGGTAATTTGGTGAGTCAGTAATTTGCTCAGTTGGTAGAGCCCAGACCTCGCATCCCAAGGATTGCAGGTTTGACTCCTGCTCTCAGCAAAGTTATTATTCTTCTTTGTGTTTTTAATCATTCTCTTCAACAAAGTTGTTATGAAGAGATTCAGGGGAATCCAGTCACACACACGCTATTTCAAAGGTTCTGAAATAGCCGTCAGGAAATGGAAATCCAAAATAAAGATATGAATCGATGGCCGCTTAGGGCTTCCGTAGTTTTTCAATATGTGTTGTAAAGTTAATTAAATGAAGGACAACATTTGTGTTATTTATTCTGTATTTCATCATAGTGGAATGTTTTTACATATGTACTTGCATCAATATTACACATTTTAAAATTTATTCCCAAGCAAAGCAATTCAGTCATTAAGAGTTATATTAAAAGTTATTTTTAGCAAGTGAGCAACTCTTAACCATACCACATTGTATTTCAGCAGTTTTACAGTAAAATATGTGATGAGAAAATCAGAATCCAACTGATCACAGTGAATTCATTTCTTTCACCATACAAGAAATTCTACAAATAAACACACAAAGTTGGCAGAAATATAAATGAAATGTTTCATTGTAAACCAACAATGAGCTCTTTAGAAAAAAAGTTAGATTTGAAAAATACAATCATTAGCCTCTTGAAAACTGCCACTTACATGTCTGGATCACTTGGGCTGTTTGGAATCACTCTATGCAGGTCTACTCTAGAGTGCACTACATTTACCCTCCACCATTTCATTTGAGAGTCTAAATTTTAAGTAAAATTGATGCTCTATAGAACCAATGTTTACAATGTTTGTAAACTTTGAATGGTTTTGTTTTTCATGATGTGTACACATATCATTTATCTACAGTATAGTGGGCCACAGAAAATGAAAGCCTGAGCTTACACATTGCTAGTCTGGTGCACAGTGGGTCAGGATCACATTCAGGTTGATTCAGGTTATTGATGACAACTTAAAGTATCCGCAATACAAAGCTTAGGGTTTTATTTTCTGTGTTTTGATACAATGGGAATTACTGAATTATTTTTAAGGGCCTGACCTGAAGAGGTACAACTAGAGTATTCACTTTTTAACCAGGAAATCCACTTATGACCCCTTCACTTCATTTTGTGACTGATTTTGGGGGCCTGAGCCCCAGGTTGGAAGCCTCTGTTGACTGAGTGTGTTCCAGACACAGACAAGGTTTTAAACTGAATGAATTCAAAGTGGTGGTTTGGATATTTCTTCCATACAAATTATGTACATTCCTAAAGATGGCAAGATTTTACATTTCAGATTAAGGCAAGACACCACAGTCCAAAATGTAGATGCTTTTGCTTCAGTCTGTCATTTTCCAGATTATTTTGCAAATATTATTAGCATACTTTCATAAAATGTACAAAATCATAATTTACGAGTTCGCACAATGTTGGCGCTTATATCATATAAGAAATGTGTTCATGTGACAAACATCTATGCTAAGTAGGTTTCTATCTAGGTTTCCTGTACGCCAAGTCCTTTTCCTCCCCCTTCAAGGCCGTTAGATGATCATAATTTTACACACTGTTTCTTAGATCTTATAGCAAGACATTTACAGAGGTTTTCAAAAATCGTGGAAAAAAAGGGTCCGTCACACATATGACTAGTATATTTTCAATAAATCCCTGTAAAAACAGTCTTTTGACAAAGAGTTCTGTAAATGTCTGGCCATTAGGTATATTATCACAATAAAACCCAAAACAATTCATGTCAAGTCTTTTAAATGTGCAAGAAAATGGATTTGTTTGATATGTGAGATATCAGTGCATATTTAATGAGAAAAAATTTGCATATAAAAATACATTTTACTACATCGTAATTCAAAAAAGGTTCTATTTATGTTTACTATGAGCTTGTAAAGCTAATCAAAGATAACAATGCACACACTGTAGATGTTAGGACAGTTGTTTTGTTTTGTGGTCAACAGAAATCAGAAGGCTATTCCTATGAATGTATTAGATCTGAGAAAAGCTGGTCTTTGTGGGACGTCAACTGATTTTAGGTTTGTTATTCTCCACCAACTACTCCTGCATCTTCTGCTTCTTCTGCTTCAATCCTCTCCTTGTATTTACTCTTGAAAAATCCAGCCTAAGAGTACAAAACCATACAGTTATATAAAAAAACATGCATAATAAATATATTTAAAGAACCATTCATTGCCTCCATAGAGCCGTGTAATAAACTGACACACCTTATACAGGCCAGCGCTGAGTAGAGCTAATAGGGCCAACCCTCCCAGGGATCCTCCGACAATCTCTTTGGTGAAATCTGGTTCAGGATAGACTTCTACCTCTGCCTCAATCTGAGAGATGAAATGACACAATGTGGATCAAAGTCAAGCTGTTTTAAAACACAAATAAGTCAAAACAATGTGTAATCACCTTGCGAACAGGAGGGTTGTTATTAGACCCTGTTGAAAAGAAGATGTACTGGTTTCTGTCGTAGTCCAGACTGGCTGTGCTGGTCAAGAGGAATTTGGCAGATTTAAGTCCAATCTGGAGGGAAAAAATGGGGAGTGGGATGAGCCTATTGATTTGAAAATAATTATTTCTGAAGATTTAATTAAGATATTTTACTAATATATAGTCAGAACCAGTTGCAATCAAAATGCTTCCAAATGTAAACTCACAAATTCATTTGTTAAATATTATACATGCACATCAAGTACCTGCTCTATCCATCCAGAACTAAGGTTGGCAGAGATTTTGTAGTTTTTACTCTCCTTTCTTCCCATGAATCTACTGCACATGAACACTCTGCAACTGGCTACAGAGCAGTCCTGTTGGTGAAAGATTAAAAGAAGGCAGAAAGCAGAGAAAGCTGTAGTCAGGCCTGTGAACTCCAGTGGGGTGGGGGTTTAGTTATCTGGATGTAACTACAGATCTATGAGTATGTGCGTAGCCCCTCTACCTCGGCACCCTGAGACTGATCTTTGTGCTCTCTGCCAATCAGGAGGTAGCAGCCACACACTATAAAGATTATTATATAGCGCCAGGTATTCATCTCCCAGGAACCCACCTTAAAAGTAAAAGTCATGCATTCAAAATTTTACTTAAGTAAAATTACGAATGTTTTGGCATCAAAATATGCTTAAAATACCAAAATTCATTATGTAGTAGGGCCCATTTCAGAATGAATATTTTAATAATGGATTATGATTATTGATGTATTCATGTTTACATCACTTTTATGTTGCAGCTGGTAAAGGTGGTGCTAATTTGAATTACTTTATATGTTGCATATACTAACCTATGATGAATAAATGAATAAAGTATCAAAAAATGGAAATACTCAAGTACAAGTACCTCAAAATTGTGTTTAATGTTTTAATATACAGTCTATGGTTTACGTACAGTAAGCTTATTTAGTTACTTCCCTTCACTGAACATAACAACTCGTTACTGAGTCACTTGTTACTAAGAATCAACATGATTTTGTGGAAAACCACTTAATGAGGAAGTGAACTATGTGAAACAGTTAGAGTACGAGTAGTAATTTGACAGGTTGGGATCATGAATAGAATCAAATATATTTATTGTCATTGCAACAATACAAGAAAATTGAATAACAATGAGAAAAGAAGTTAAAATTTGACATGGATGTTAGTTTGGTTATGTTGTGGTAAAGTCTTTGTTTGTATGTCTGCCATCTGTGCACACTGCAAGTCAACTGGTATGAAGAAGCAACACTTGATGGACAACTGCTGAAACATTTATTTTAGGTAACTAAGGGCATTTTACACTATAAAGATTATTATATAGCGCCAGGTATTCATCTCCCAGGAACCCACCTTAAAGCACAATGTGTTTGCCCTTCTCTTTAGATCTGTGTGAATCACATGGGTGCCATAGTTTTCATTCAAAATGGCAAATTTGCAGCTAACTGTAATGTTATCATTTCTTTTGTGTGCATATAACAAACGTACATTTCTAAATCTATAATTAGACTAGATTCTAACTCAGAGATGGTAGAGGCGTACTTACCACCAAGTTATTTTTCTGTATCTGAGCAGCAAATTCTCTCACTGTAGTTTCTTCATCTTTGACTTTTTGGCAGTCTGGAATCTGAAATAGAGCCGATTCATGTCAGTTTAGCAGAAAACAAAATGTGATCCTTGTATTACCACATCCATCTATCCATCCATGAGGCTGCAGATGCATTAAACCAGTTACAGTTGGGACATTTTTGTCTTCAGTAACTATGAGATTTCATGGTACCTGCAAACTGCTCGAATCCACCCAGATATCTTTATCACCGAGCTTTACTGGCACCCTGATCACCACAGTTAAATTGAGTGGTCTGAATTCATTTGTAACCTAAGAGAAAGGTGGAAAAGAAAAGGTATTAAACAGACTAGGTGAGCATTAAAATGAAGTCTAAATTAAGTAAATTAATTTTAACATGATTACTAATAATATAATATGATAAGATATTTTACCACAATTGTTTGTTGGACTGGTTTCTGCAAATTGTTCTTTCCGTAAGAGAAATTGGTGTAGCTGAGGGAACTAAATAAACATATTAAACATTTGAAAAATGTTAGATAACAACATGTCAACATAAAAGTAGTAATTTTAAATAATTTTATTTAACAAACAACAACAGATACCTTTGAAAGGTCGCAAAAATGCCGTATTTCACATTAATCTCTTTCATTTTGAAGAGTTCGCTTGAGCTGGAGTGCTCCTGATTTCCACTAAAAGAGAGGTGAAATTATTTGTACAAATGGTTATAGGACTGTAAGTTGGGATCAGATGTTCCGTTATTAATCCTCCATGGGGGAAATTTAAGTTGGCACAGCAGTACAGAGGAATGTAAAGAAAGATTGCACACATATTGCACACATAGACACATGAATATTGTTGTACTTATAGGCAAGCAGTTGTACAAGTACCTGGAAGCATTTGCAGTGACAAAAATCCTACTGCCAAGTTGGCTAGTGGTTTGTATCCCATAGTGGACGATGAATAAAGCCTAAAATGACATAAAAAGATCAGATAGTCTCCTCTTTTTGCCAAACCGAGAAGAGAGCCTTCTGCACGAAGAACAAACCTTAGTTTTGCTCTTGAAAATAGGCTTGTCAACAGTGCAGTCTGTCCTTCCTCTGGATAATCCATCTTCACTGTCGAAGGAGTTGCACTCAATTCTTCCCTTTATTAAAAAAACAAAACAAAGTTCACATTAACTGGAATGGCTCTGACCCGAGAGAGCAGCTGACTTTAGTTGAATTGAAACAGACTTACCTGCAGGCTTGTAAACTTCCTAAAGGAGAGTCCGACTGGGTATGTGAGAACAACCCGGCTGTTGTAGGAGTTTTCCTCCATGTTCCCCACTGAGACGGTGACATTAAGCAGGTCATCAATGCCCACTTTAACCTCTGAGGAACTGATAGATTATGAGGAAAGAGAAAAGTGAAGGTGGAGGAAAACAAGACAAAGAGTACAGCCATGCTAGCTGCTATGTGAGGATTAGATAAAGCGGTGCTTTGAGCTTAATGCTACCATCACCATATTTAAAATCTCAGTTTAGCGTGTTAACGTGCTAACATACGTGCTAGTTAGCACAAAACACAACTGACCACAGAGGCTGATTTGAATGTTATATATTTTTAGGTATTTATCAAAGACAAATTTGACCTGATTATTGCGCTAGATGAAATGTAAATGGATCACAAAGTGATTTCAGTTCATCACAAAGGGGGCATGAATGTGTGTAAAAAATGTCATCACAATCCATCTCATAATTGTTGGAGCATTTGAAACATTAGTCTAGGATACATCCCCTGGAAACCATGAATATATGTACTAAATTGAATAATACCAAATAATCAATTAGTTGGTGCTAATCCATCCAGTAGACGTTGGGATATTTCATAAAGAAACTTTGACCTGGTGATAGTGGTAGACAAAACGAGTATCACCAACACATCATTGTCATTGAAACACATCCTCTGGGCACTGCAAATGTCTGTACAGAATTTCAAATCTTGTACCAAAAAACATTGTCAGGCTGACATTGTAGCCCTAGGTCCATGTCACTAACATGGATCAAACATTACATAAGGTTAGGGGTTCCAACAAGTACAAAAATCCTTCATACACCCTTACTATGATATTTCACACTGAAAAGGCATAGCTGAAATATCTGTGCCTTTTACTCTCCTGTTCTGAACGCAAAAACCAAGAAAATATAAGTAAAAGGGCATACTGATCAGTTTGAGTGTGCAAGCCCTTTGTGCTTGCAGAAAATATAAATTGACCATGTAAACACACCCAAGTAAGGTTTCACTCACTCAGTAAAGTTGAAATCCACTTTCAGGTTATCTACACAGTTGTTGTCAGTGCCGCAGTTAATCTCGAACCCTAACTGTGGAAGACAGTTTGAGGTAAACAATGTTTGTTCAGAAAGAGTAACAACAATCAGCCGACTGACTGCACACTTTCACAGCACTGCAGAGCTCTCTATAAAGTAGCTAATGTGAAATGGTGAATTATGTAGAAACTATTAAATTAATCTTCACAAAAAGTACTAGCAAAAGGGAATATCATTTTTTAGCTTCACATTGACTAGGCTTTGTTGTTCAGTTAATATTCAGACGGACAACAAATACCACAGTAACAAGTGTTAGCAAGTGCAATAGGATATCTTTGAAGATTACTTACAGGATAAAAGGTTGTTGTCTGAGCCTGTTGGGCAAGACTTGGGCTGAGAGTATCAGCAGAGGATACACCGTCAAAGGTGAATCTGAGCTCATTGTTAAGTGCATTGAGAGCATCGTCTGGACAAGCCTACAAGAAGAAAGCACTACTGTGAAATAGTATTTGTCAAGGTTGTGAGAATTTAGACTCTTTAACACAACACCGGCATTAAACATGGGATATTTCAGTATGAGAGAGGCTGTGATTTTCTACATTGAACTTCTTGAATCTACAAGATTCCAAGAGTCCAACAGCTCACCTGAATGGCGAAGTTCACCTCGTTGCACTGTTCCTGGTTTAAGTCAAGAAGAATGGATCTAGTCTGCTCTCGTGTTTTCTCATTGATGTAAGCTCGGTTGTTTGGGACCTTGCGGGTGACATCAAGCGTTAGAGTGTAATTAATCCTTGCTTGAGCTGGAATAGATAAGAATTTCATTTAAGGTTAAATGTTAGTCATGTACACAAATACAAGTATTTAAATGGATGAACAGTGGAGAATCAACAACCTGTGTTTACTGGAGAGTGTCTGCTCATGGTGAAGCAGATACGAGCTATGTTCTCTAGTGGTTTTGAACAGTCTGAGTTTTGAGTGGGGATTGGGTTTACACTGAATGACACCGCAGCTTCTACCATTACTATAGGCTTTGATCTGAAATGGACAGAGCAGGAAAACACACATGAATAACCTTTGGCTTTGTCATCAGTAATACAAAAGAAAGCCAAACTGATTATCAATACATCTTAGCTGCCTGACACAATCCATTATTGGTGAGCAGTACTGTCCAAAATTAGTAAAAAGAGACTGAATGAAGTTAGGTTTCCCCTGAAAGAATAAATGTGAAAGATATAAGCCTTATGATTAAATAAAGGTTACAAATGAACATAAATGGTAGAATTGCACTAGATGACAGGAGCATCTTGGACTTACCTGAGTAAAACAACTGCTCCCTTTGAACCCACCGCTAAGTCGTGCAGATTATCCCCACTAAGGTCAAATGATGACTGACTGATTGATATGCCGAAGAACTTCAGTCCTTGCCGGACTTCCGAGCCAGTAATTCTCTATGTAAATGGAAATATTTTAATGAATCAAATTGAAAACAGTATAGCTTTTCTATAAAATAAAGTGGCAAACATGACGCAATACATTTTTTTATTTGCTTCTTTCATCTTGCTCACCTGTGAGTAAGCAGAACTGATTGTTCTTCCTCCTTCGCCGTGGAATATATAGATGCTGCCCTGACCGTCATTCTCCAAAGGTGCTCCAACGGCCAAATCACTGAGACCATCGTTGTTAAGATCAGGCAGCACAGCAAGAGAAGACCCAAACCGTCCTTTTGAAAATGCATCCCCTCTCAGTACTGATGGAGAATCTAAGTGACAATCGACACTCTGATGAAAATATAAGGATGAGAGTCAGTGTTTGCATGGTCAATAAACAAAACAAGCACAAGCATTTAGTGGTGCTAGATAAAACTGTTGTTTACCAAATCAATTAAGCTGCAAACATAAACTCTTCCCTCTCTATCAGTGTCGATGTACATGGGGGCAGATATGAGGATTAGGTCTGTGTAGGGCTTAGGATCCACGTCCATCGCACAAACCTCAGCCCCAAAATATTCACCAATCTGAAACTGTGTAAGCAACACATTATCAATAAAAATTACATTAAAGATGGAAATAACAGTTTTAATTTATTAAAAATATTTTTACAATTTGCTTCTCACACACCTGCCATGGAAAGGGATCAATCTGTTGTTGAAAGTTGTTTCTGTAAGTTGTCATCACAAGTCCTCTGTGTTTATATCTCGGAGCACCAACAATTGTCAATTCACCGTACACCGTTTTAGCAACAGCCATGGAGTAACCTGGAATTCAAGAGTCAAGCCCATATGTTAAAGTATCCCAAGGTTTGGCCTACTGTGGATAAATTGTATAAGTTTTGAAGATTTGCAGAGTTTAATTTTCATTTAACACGATAAAGAATACTTGCTTGAGTCACACCTTACCCAATATTCCAAGCACAAGCTTTCCAGTTCAAAATACTGTTGGCTTGTCTGCATATATGAGATCAGACATTTGTAAAACCATCGCAATTTCTACATTAGCTGCACTTTGGATTTGTTGATATCTTACTGGCTTCTGTACCACTCAAGATCAACCAACAGGCTTAAAGGTGGGGTGGTATTTGTTTCTCTAAATGGCCCTTAATTCTCTCACGCCCAGCTCCCGAAGTTAGGCTATGTGTTCAGGTTTTTGTCTGCAACCACTTCCTGTTTTCTTGGCATTCATCATCTTGCCTCCTTTCAGGTCTTTGTTTTCCCTCTGCCCTGTGTGATTACTACTCCCCGCCCTTATGTGCTGCACCTGTGCCTTGTTGTTGCCCTTGCCCTAGTGTATAAATACCCTTGTCCCCTTTGTACCTGTGCCAGTTTGTCTTGATCGCTTGTGTCAGAATCCTAGTTATTTCTTGGTGTGTGCGCTCTCCTGTGTGTTTTGACCAATGCTCTCTGTTTTTGACTACCTCTCCAGCCTTGTGATTTTGGTACTGTTGCCTGAGACTTTTTGGATTAGGTTCAACAAACTGTTTATTTTTGTGAACCCCCCTCGAGTCGTGCTTTGTGAGTCCATTACCTCTATGTGCTGCCATTTATAAATTCACCTTTAATGGAACTATGTTGATTGATGTCTTATTTTTATTTAGAAGATCTATCACAAGCAAATTTTTTTGTTTTTAAAATACAAACCTGCTTGCATATGCTCCCTGAACCTTTGACTCCACATTCTTTATTTGATTTTTTTCTGTCCCGTGCATTGTCTTGCATTTGATTTGATTTCCAAAATATGGGTAGACTGTTTACAGTAGAGCAGTTTGTGATCACATGATCACATTTATATGTGTTAGTCATTACTATCATATTCTTACCCAGATAACTGTCAGTCTCCATATACTCTGGTGCAAAGGTGCTGACTATCGTGCCTGCGCTTGTGTATTGTTGGTAGCCTCCCTTCCATTCGTTGGCACCAACAATACCCATCAGAAATCCCTGCCATTTTGACAGAAATTTAAAGAAAATATGATTGCCACAAAACAGCCAAAGAAAAGAAATCTGTAATACATATAAAATGTGTATTCTATAAGTGCATAACTGTCTGTCTACTTCTTACCCACAAAGAGTCACACAGATGCATGTGTAAGTGTGTGTCTGTTTTTCTAAAACTATATTGTTCAGTGAATTTCTGGTGATTTTAATTACCCCAGGCACATAAGCTGCACTGAATCCCCCTTGAGACATTTCCATTTTCAGTGACTCTCCACTTGTTTGAGATCCTGTAACAGAAACATAAATAAGCACAAACTCTTATTGAATGACACAATGATGTTCATGTACTTTTACTGAATGATACAGTATGTAGATTCATTACAGCTCAAAGTAGTAATGGTCAATGATGAACATAAAACTATTCATTGTTTCTTTTTGGAACCAAAACAATTACAGTAATTTCAACTGAATGTTATATTAAGTTTACATTTGTACCTTCGATGGAGAAGATTTTGTCCTGCAAATTCTGCCTTATTATTTCAAGTGCGTTAAAGTTGTCCACTTTAAACACATAGTTTGCTGGGGGAGAAGTTGCAATGGTTTCCAGTTCCCTTATTGCATTGTATTTGGCAAATGCACGCCCAACCTAGGGATGTTGAGGAAAAAGTGTTGGAGGTGTTGTACTTATTTTCCAGCTACATTATGTGTGAGAGTATTGAAAAGAAAAAAAAACAAGGCCAAATAGCATTCTGAGACGTTGCATCATTTAACAGTTTAGGTAGCTACAGTGAGCTACATGTCTCAGTCAGATGTTACTGTTTCACACTCTGGCCTTCTCAAACAATTGCACAACAATTGTGCCCGGTGGCTATAGTGACCTTGATGTTGTAATTTTGTACTGTGCTTGTGTATGTTTTTTGCACTGGAACCAAGCTACCATGCTGTACCAAAACAATTACCACCAACTCTGTTTCATGGCAATAAAAAAGTATCTTTCTATTTATTTATCTATCTATAGTTGGTTGAAGGATTTGGAATTATACATAGTAGTGGTTGGCAATATATTAATTCTTTAAAGCATTTATTTAACAAGATTTTTTTTAAAAGCAAAACACACCTGAATCTAACTAAAATGTCCTAAACAAAGATAAAGTTAAGTTAAGTCGTGTTTTATTTATAAAGTGCATTTAAAAACAACCAGGGTTGACTAAAGTGCTGAAAAAAGCTGTTCAATATTAAAAATAATAAAATAAAAAACAGATCAATTACAACAGGTCAAATAATTAATGACATACAACAAAAAAGAGAAAAACAACACTGTTAAAAACAAGGCAGTTAAGCACGAGTGCTTAAACACCAAAGAATAAAAATGTGTTTTAGGACAAAACTTAAAAGTTAGTGTTGTAATTCTTGAGACCGGTCTTAAGACCACTTTTTGATAGTTTCAGTCTTGTCTTGGACTCGACTGCATTTGTACTCGGTCTTGTCTCGGTCTCGGACAGTGAGGACTCTGATGTTGATTGGATGTAAAACTTATGGCTTCAAATGCAAGCCTAAATAAAAATGTGTTGTTACCGTTAATGGCTATCACCCCTCCCCGCCCCCTTCACACGCACTCCAAGAAAGTGAATGGGGGAGACAAAGAAGCTGTGGCTGTCTAGGAGCAGGAGGATATGTCAGCAAAATCTTCGTAATAACATTTAGCTTTTTAAACTATAAAGGATTAATCTATCAAACAGCGTCCAGAAAAAAGCACAGGAATCTGTAAATTCTGCAGTGCAACCTTACGGAGATGGCTGGGACCACATAATTAACTTTTACTGCCACTTAGAAAGAAGTATGTGTATGTGATGTTAGCAAAGCTAGCAAGCTTATGCATGTATACTGTATGTTTCAGGGCACTAATTTCAGTTGCTTGCTATGGTTGCTTGCAAGTTATTTGCCACCTAGCCAGGTGCTCAAGCTACCTAATTACACTGAACAAAATTATAAATGCACCACTTTTGTTTTTGCCCCCATTAATCATGAGTTGAACTCAAAAACTTTCTCTATGTACACAAGAGGCCTATTTTTCTCAAATATTATTCACAAATCTGTCAGAAACTGTGTTAGTGAGCACTTCTCCTTTGCCGAGATAATCCGTCCACCTCACAGGTGGGGTATATCAAGATGCTGATCAGACAGCATGGGTATTGCATAGGCTGGCCACAATAAAAGGCCACTCGAAACCAATTGTTTTTTATGGTGGTCAGTGGCTTCATGATGGCCATGGCCAAGGTAGAGCCCTGACCTTAATCTGACTGAATGTCTGTGAAAGGACTTGAAGAGAGCAGTCAATTGCCGCTCACCACAATTTTACTTCAACAATACTGCCAGGAAGAATGGACAACTATTCCCTAATCAGGAGAGCAAAGCTGATAAAGACATATCCAAATCAACTGGCTGGGATTAAAGCAAAAGGGGATGTAGTATCAGGGAACTGAACACTTCCAACTTTCAGCATGATTTTAACGGGTTTTGATTTCAGGTTATAAGAAAAAAAAAGGTTGAACTTACCCCAATGGCAAATCGAACTATGTTTTTTTTTTCAGCTAAAGCTGCTGCATTTGGCAATTCCTGTGGGTCATTAGATTCTCCATCTGTAATGACTATCAGAACTTTCTTCACATTTGACCTGGAACCTCCATTTACTGAGAAAATTTCATTGCTGTCAAAAGAAAGGGCTGCATTCAATACATATTATTGTACTATTGTACCTTTTGTAGTATTAAAAATACAAAAAAGTACAAAAAGAAAAGTATTCTCACTAACCTCTAGTAGTTTTTAGCTATACAAATAGATTAGGTTATTATAGGTCATATGTGGGCGTCTGGTGAAGACCTTTGGCTGATTTTTAATGCACTGGATACCTCTTTTGGATTTCTACAGTAAATTAGCAACAATAAATATCAGTTTGCTTGTTTTTTTTTTACTTTGTCTCCAGGCATTGTACAGGTGCTGGTCATATTATTAGAATATCATCAAAAAGTTGATTTATTTCAGTAATTCCATTCAAAAAGTGAAACTTGTATAATGTATACATTCATTCCACACAGACTGATATTTTTCAAGTGTTCATTCCTTTTAATTCTGATGATTATAACTGACAACTAATGAAAACCCAAAATCAGTATCTCAGAAAATTAGAATATTGTGAAAAGGTTCAATATTGAAGACACCTGGTGCCACACTCAGCTAATTAACTCAAAACACCTGCAAAGGCCTTTAAATGGTCTCTCAGTCCATTTCTGTAGGCTACACAATCATGGGGAAGACTGCTGACTTGACAGCTGTCCCAAAGACGACCATTGACACCTTGAACAAGGAGGGCAAGACACAAAAGGTCATTGCTAAAGAGGCTGGCTGTTCACAGAGCTCTGTGTCCAAGCACATTAATAGAGAGGCGAAGGGAAGGAAAAGATGTGGTAGAAAAAAGTGTACAAGCAAAAGGGATAACCGCACCCTGGAGAGGATTGTGAAACAAAACCCATTCAAAAATGTGGGGGAGATTCACAAAGAGTGGACTGCAGCTGGAGTCAGTGCTTCAAGAACCACCACGCACAGACGTATGCAAGACATGGGTTTCAGCTGTCGCATTCCTTGTGTCAAGCCACTCTTGAACAAGACACAGCTAAAGACAAAAAGGACTGGACTGCTGCTGAGTGGTCCAAAGTTATGTTCTCTGATGAAAGTAAATTTTGCATTTCCTTTGGAAATCAAGGTCCCAGAGTCTGGAGGAAGAGAGGAGAGGCACAGAATCCACATTGCTTGAAGTCCAGTGTAAAGTTTCCACAGTCAGTGATGGTTTGGGGTGCCATGTCATCTGCTGGTGTTGATCCACTGTGTTTTCTGAGATCCAAGGTCAGCGCAGCCATCTACCAGGAAGTTTTAGAGCACTTCATGCTTCCTGCTGCAGACCAACTTTATGGAGATGTAGATTTTATTTTCCAATAGGACTTGGCACCTGCACACAGTGCCAAAGCTACCAGTACCTGGTTTAAGGACCATGGTATCCCTGTTCTTAACTGGCCAGCAAACTCGCCTGACCTTAACCCTATAGAAAATCTATGGGGTATTGTGAAGAGGAAGATGCGATACGCCAGACCCAACAATGCAGAAGAGCTGAAGGCCACTATCAGAGCAACCTGGGCTCTCATAACACCTGAGCAGTGCCACAGACTGATCGACTCCATGCCACGCCGCATTGCTGCAGTAATTCAGGCAAAAGGAGCCCCAACTAAGTATTGAGTGCTGTACATGCTCATACTTTTCATGTTCATACTTTTCAGTTGGCCAACATTTCTAAAAATCCTTTTTTTGTATTGGTCTTAAGTAATATTCTAATTTTCGGACATACTGAATTTGGGATTTCATTAGTTGTCAGTTTTAATCATCACAGTTAAATGAAATAAACATTTGAAATATATCTGTGTGTAATGAATGAATATAATGTCCAAGTTTCACTTTTTGAATGGAATTACTGAAATAAATCAACTTTTTGATGATATTCTAATTATATGACCAGCACCTGTATAGGGATAGTATTATTATTATTATTGTAAGTGTCCAAGTAGATGCCAATGGACGATTATAAAAAGCTGGCAATTTCCATCTGTTGCTGATGATGTCAGGACCACAAGTTGCTCTATCATTTAATTTTGACATGGAAGTGCCAAGTCATTTTGAAATCTGTCTGGACTTTTCCAAAAAAGTTAGGATATTTTACAAAATGCAATAAAAAATAAAATTCACATCCTTTAATTAATTTTCTAAAGTACAAAGAAAAGATTTTCAATAGTTTTACAGACCAACGTAATTGTATTTTATAAGTATAAACAAAATTTGATGCCTGCAACCAGGGGTGGACTGGTAATCTGGCATACTGGGCAAATGCCTGGTGGGCCGACGCACCTTTGGGGCAGATGTAACCCACATTATTTATTTATTTAACTGTTTAAAAAATGGGCCAATGCCCAGTAGTGCTAAAGATACGTGCATGTACTAATGTGGAAAAACGACTAAGGTCCTAAAGAGGAGCAAGGAAAGAAAGGAGCTGAACTCTCTTTAACTAGTCAGTATACTTATATAAATGTATGAGAAATGTATGTAAAATGTTTGATAACCTAAAAAATATGTAAAGCTGCACCTGTGAACCCACATGTTCACAAGAAGGAGGCCTCAGTTAAAGCCTTCCTCGAGTATATGATCAAGAACTGTTTGGACATGGGAATTTAAGGTTCAGATGTACTCACTATTATAACTACGTAGCAATATGTTCATGATAATGTGTGTATTTGAATTTAATGTAAAATGTTTTCTTCATCTATGTTTCTATCAAATTTAAAAGGTCTCTGTAGGCAAACAGCTTATAGGCTGCAGGAAACTGAGGAGGGTCTCCTTAAAAGGAGAATTTGATCCAAAAGGATATTGCACAATGAAAATGAGGTGATACTCGTTTTTGTGAATTAAAAGAACCCAGGAAAAGTATTTAGGATGACGCAGTTGGAAATCCGCCATGTTGCGTACGTGGCTTTAATTTTGGGGGGTTTCCAGAGAGGTGGAGGATGAGTCTCCGGCAGAATTTGGTCAGTAATCTCTCTCTAAGAATTAGGACTTAATCATTGAATCATCTAATAATAACAGAATGTAAAGTTAATGTCCAGCGATTTTTAGGGAGAAAATGTGGTTCTTGAATAAAAAAACTCACCTTTGAGTCCCTTCACTTGAGTCAAATTTGGACTGAAATTGGACTTTAATGGTAAACATAATATTTCTTTCTGAAGTGAAGGAAAAGTTAGCTGTCCTTAGAGTAAAAGCTTCAGGGTCGAATCCTGCTCAGAGTACCTCTTTTTTATTACGAGAAAAATAGCCTGTAATGAGACCCAGCAAGGTATCGCCATCAAGTCTCAATTATGATTCCTGCTGCTAATTGCTTTGTCTCACCTAATTCTCCTATTATATCCTATATATTATATATTATATATCTCCTACAATTTTGTGTATCTCCTGCTGTAAAAGAGCAACCAATGAGTTCATGCTTAAAATATTCTGGGGGAAAAAACCCTCAGACCCTCCAATCGTATATTTCATCAATAAATATTTTAATCCCCTAATCTGAGCCCTTAAAAGTGAAGCCATGTGTGTGCCATGCTGTGGTGACATTAATGATGATTAGTTCAATTAAGGTCAGTGATTACGATATAATCATAACGCTATCATAAAAGTGAGACTTTCACCTACCTCTGGTGATCACTCACTGTCAAACAGTTCTGCATAAGCTATTTGACATTGTTTTTGTAGCATAGCATAGTTTCCTAATACAGTCTTAACTTTGGCTAACTGCCCAAATGGCTGAAGTGAGGTTATTGAGGCTAGTGCCATGCAGCTGTGAAAATGACTTGTAGGCTACTTATACAAACATGGTGTATTGGTGATGAGTGTCCAACTGCTTTTGGTGGGTCGCCTGGGCCAAAAATGCTGATATTTTGTCCCAGTCCAGCCCTGCCTGCAACATACTCAACAAAAGTTAGGACAGAGGCATGTTTACCATTGTGTTACATCACCTTTCCTTTAATTACACTTTCTAATCATTTGGGAAGTGGAGATTCTAATTAAACCAGTTTTGCAATTGGAATTTTTGTTTATTCTTGCTTGATACAAAACTTCGGCTGCTCAACAGTCTGTGGTCAACATTGTCTGATTCTTCTCTTCATGATGCGCCATACATTTTCAATAGGAGACAGATCTGGACTTGAAGCAGGCCTGTGTCTACGAAGCCACTCTGTTGTAGCCTGCAGAATGCGGCCTGGCATTGTCCTGCTGAAATAAGCATTGATTTCCCCAGAAGAGATGTCACCTTGATGGCAACATATCTCTCTAAAATGCCAATATATCTAACCAAATTTTATTTGAATATTCTGTGTACATCTTATTTTAACTCTGTCCTAACTTTTGTTGAGTGTGTAGCAGGTATGAAATTCTAAGTTTAAATACAATAATGCTGGTCAGTAAAACTGTTGAAAATCTCTTCTTTGTACTTTTCTCAATTAATTAAAGTTAACATGAATTAACACATAAAAGATTTGGGAAAGTTGGGAAAATATCCCAACTTTTGTGGAAAAGGGGTTTGTAAAACTTGCAAGTGAAAAAAACAGTGCAGGCTTGAATTGGTGCCATGGCCCAGTTCGACCTGCTTCAAGCAGTGAATGGGTCGAGGACCAAGATGTCTGTGAAGGTTCACAGTCATCCAGGTCATAGTTATCCAAAGACGGTTAAAGTCAAGGGCAACTGGACTTGGTTGAAGACACTAGAAGATATTTTGGCCCTCATCCGAGAGACTTCTTCAGTTCTGAATTGACTAGTAGAGAAATTCAGCTATTTAACCTCTGTGGGGTTGTTTGCTAATATCATCGATACCGCTGGTTCATTAGTGCTCCTGGCTGCTGTAACGGCAGTCGTTGTAGTCGTTAGAACCACCCGTGGCCAAGTCAAAACGCCCATTGTTGGCATCTTCAGTTGACACCAAGAGGTAATGCTTGTTCAGTTAAAGAGGTGGTATAATGCTCATTTTCAGGTTCAAAATCTTATTTAGGGGTTGTACCAGAACAGGTTTACATGGTTTAATTTTCAAAAAACACCATATTTTTCTCATACTGCACATTGCTGCAGCTCCTCTTTACACCCTATATGTTGCACGCTCCGCTCTAGAGCTACAGAGTGATGCATCTTACTTGTACAAAATGTTTGTTGGGAGTCACACATGCACAGTTCCCAGGTAAGGACTACCAGCCAATCAACAAGGTAGTGTGATCCAAATGAAAGCCGCTTCAGACTGCAAGTTAAGTTATTCACAAGTCCACAACCACGCAACATCATTGTTCCACATTTTACCATAAACCACTACAAAAATCACCATATTTCTACTCAATTTTACATAAAAATTGGCCAAACAATTGAATGAAATTTGATATAAAATTCCATACGAAAACTGTAAAATATAAAACTTTCTGTTGCTGGCCTCTGTCTGGCGCACGCAATGATGATGCAGTAACTAGTGATTCTCTTTGACCAATCAGCAGTCTGTCGTGTTTTCACGTTACATTTTAGTATCCCTCAGCTGGCCTGGAACGTCGACGGAGGTGAGGTGAGGTGAAAAAAAGTACCTGGAAGCAGGTACAGGTGTAACATTTCTACAATGGAAAACCAAACAAAGGTGAGTCGAGCCAAAGGGCCTCCGCTCAGAGTAGCTTGGTTTGAGGGCGTGCCTGACCCCGCTAGCCGCTTGGCAAGCTTTATGACGCGTTTTCATTGTAATGTCACAAGTAAAGGAAGTGAAGGGCTGGACTACAAACGAGCTGTTTTCAAGCAGTTCAGAGCAGTGCTTTCTGTGGGAGATGGGAACTCCCTTTGGGCTGGACTTTGGGCTTTTTCACTTTGCAAACCTGTTACATGCACAAAAAAGATATATAACTCAATAAAGGAGAGGGGAAAAGCCAAAAAGCATAATACCACCTCTTTAAGAAGGGTTAACTCCTCAGGTCAAGACTCAGCAGTTAACTTACATCTGAAGGACTAAGGACACTCATTTGAGGACCACCAGGTGCACATTTTAGACAGAGAGGATAGATGGTTTGAAAAAGGTGTCAAGGAAGCCATCTACACCCAGATTAAGAAGCCGTCACTGAACACAGGAGGGGGACGACACCCTCTGCCACTTACATTTTACATTTACTCATTTTGCAGACACTTTTATCCAAAACGACTGGACCACTTATCCCCCACTTACAATGCTGTCCTTTTATCACTTCCCAGGAAACTGAACAAGCATTTCCTTTTGGCCTCAATTGAAGATGCCGACGATGGTCATTCAGACTTGGCCACAAGTGGTTTTAATGACCATAACAATTGTCGTTACAGCAGCCAGGAGTACTAACGAACCAGCGGTATCGATGATCTTGGCGAACGATCCCACAAAGGTTAAATAGCTGAGTTTCTCTCCTGGTCATTTCAGAACTGAAGAAGTCTCTTGAATGAGGGACGTCTTCTAGTATCTTCAACCAAGTCCAGTTGCCCTTGACGTTAACCTTCTTTGGATATGGTCGAGGACCAAATTCAACATGCCTATTTAAAATAAATAGGCTATGTGCAAACTATTGTATTACAGTTCTCTTCAATCAGTGTTCACAGTTAAATCTAAGCAAACCAAATTGTTTACTTCCTGTTTGTACATAAAATCTGTATTTGGTAATGTCCTGCATTAGCATCATGATGACACTTACACAACACGTTTGATGGCATCAGCTGTGTATGTCCCTCCAGTTAACTGTCTTATTCCATCAATTTGAGCTTCCCAACTTTTAGCATCAAATGTACTAAAGTAATTATGGATCTTGAATCGAACAGTTGAAGAGAACTGGGCAATGGCAAACTGCAAAAAAGAAGAAAAAATTTAACCATGCATCCAACAGTCAAATGATGCATTAAAGGTAAAGCACGGGCTATGGAGACAATAAAGGGAATGTACACAAATTATATGGAAGGCAGAGGGGTATTTGGTAAATGTTTGGTAGAATATTTAAATTTTGCTAATTTGATCTCTTGTAATCTGCCCATTGGTGGCAATTGTAGCAAATTATCTATTAAGAAAATACTATGGTTTGTAGGGAATGTCCAAAGCAAGATTATTCTTCACAGAAGGGCCCTTTCTTTAAAGAGGTGGTATTATGCTCATTTTCAGGGTCAAAATCTTATTTAGGGGTTGAACCAGAACAGGTTTACATGGTGTAATTTTCAATAAACACCATATTTTTTTCATAATGCACATTGCTGCAGCTCCTCTTTTCACCCTGTGTTGAAGGCTTCGTTTTAGCTGTGGAGTAATACATCTTGTCTCTAAATGATCTTTGTTGGGAGTTGCTCATGTGCAGTTCCTAGTTAAGGACTTAACTAGCCAATCAGAATCAGAGAAGGGCAGGTCAGCGCGAAGCAAACACGGATTTGTTTCAGCTGTACATGTTGCCCACCAGCTTGGCTGGAGCAAGAGTTTTAAAGTGGTGAGTTAATTAATCTGTAACAAAAGTATCTTTCATCCATAAAGTTTTAACTGAGCTCTGTCTCTAAATCACAGTAACAACTTTATGTCCATTGAGTGTCTGGAGAGTAGCTAGTGTTTGGAAGGGAGAGGAGAGGTGTGTGCTGCAGCTATTATTCCACCAGTGTTTTTGAGGATGTGGCGGAGTAGCCGCTTGGCGAGCGTTACATGAGACGCATTTAGCTTTCCTCCCTGTGTCGTCACAAGGATGGAATGGAATCAGCTGGACTACAAATGAGCTGTTTTCAAGCAGTTCAGAGCAGTGTTTTCTGTGGGAGATGGGAACTGGGCTTTTTCTTTGCAAACCTATTACATGCATAAAAAAGGTATATAACTCAATAAAGGAGAGGGGAAAAGCCAAAAAGCATAATACCACCTCTTTAAAACAGACAAAACAAAAACACAAAGACATTAAATGCAATGCCTAAGAATGCTGGATTTTTTGATTTTCAATTATTTTAATCATTCTATGGTTTAACTGGCAAGCATGAACACAATCCTACCTTTGTATCTTTTCCCTGGAATGAGGCGATCAGGTTTTTCACAAATGTCTTCATTATTTTAAAATCATCACCACCTATGCTGCCTGAGCCATCCAACAGAAATGCAATGTCTGCTTGGGTTCGACACTCTGTCAAAAAGAAGATATGGATCAACGTCTGAATGGTTGTTGCATCTCATTCTGTTTGTTAACAATTCACCTTGTTATATTATCTGCCTGCTTGTTCCAGGGCTCAGGTGTCAAGCCTCTTGGCAAGGTGCTATGATGCGATTATGGTGATATGCTTATATTATCAGACCTCTTTGAACACTTCCCTGGCATGTTGCTAGAACTTCAACATACGAAAAAAAAAAAAATTACCTTCAGGAGAAGAAGGCACATAGGCTCCAAGATTATCAAAACGGTTTATCTGCCTGCATAAACCGTTGTACATGGTGATACTTTTGCAGTCCTTTGGGAGGGTTGGACCACATACCTGAAAAGAGACAAGGTCAAGCCCTGATAATTACATAATGGGTTGATTATTTTTCTGTCACATATATTTTCTGAAAATACATTTTCAAGATGCAAAAGGATAGTTTCACTGATAGGAAGACAAAGAAACGTTTAAGAGGATTCTCCCTGACCTCCGCATTGATATTAACAAGGTACTGTGAATATTTGCAGTTTACTGGCTCACCATAGTGTTTTGTGTGGCGGGATCACTTGTCATTGTCAAACCAAGCGATATGTTGAATGCAAAAGCTGGCACTGCATTGAAAACATCAATAATCAGTTATGTTTAACAGTCATTCAAGACATTTTGTGATAGCAAGAAAACAACATTCTCAGTGACCACTACAAATTGCAGCTACCGCTTTTAAAATACTTCCCTATGTGATCCGATAACTATCAGCAGTTCAAACTCGTAGTGTCCCATTGCCTTTTCTGGCCTATGACTATGGTCCCAAAACTCACATGACCAAGGCAATTATTATGTAACTGTATTCTTTTGCAACTGTTGTTGCAATTTTCAGCTGCATGAAATACAAAATATTCCCATTCAAAGTCATTTGAGTACTGATGTGGTGATATGTGAATTTTTATAATTATAAAACATAGAATACTTGGCAAATTAAGTCAACATATACAGCATGTCTTGAAGACTGAATCAAACATTTTTTAAGATAGCTATCTCAGTATCTTTCCTAGAAATATCCTGAAACCATTTCTATCGGGTGATACACACAAGGTCCTGACACCATCTGTTGAAAATCTCTTGAGAACTAATAACAAACTTCTAATGCTTGTACTTGTTTTTAAGGATAAAAGGTAACAGGAATCATTTTTTATCATCGTTTTTAATTCAGCCCATGTCATTTCAGTTAGTTAATAGCTTATATGAAGCATTTAGAAATTAGTAGTTGCTTACATGTAACTGGTAGTTTACCGCAGGACTCGGTGGAGCACTTATATATTTCCCCCCTTGTTCCTGGTAGATACTGTGCAAGAGGAGCACTGACGAGCAAGCTGAGGAAACAAAACCAGACATGTGAAAGAGCCTGTCTGGTCACCACAGTGTAATTCAATGTTACGTACTTGATTCCTCTTTACTGTGCGACACACACAAAACGCAACCAAAACAAAGTAGTAGATGTCTATGAAGATTCTCAGTCATCCAGGTCATAGTTATCCAACGAAGGTTAAAGTCAAGGGCAACTGGACTTGGTTGAAGATACTGGAAGACATTTCGTCCCTCATCCAAAGGACTTCTTCAGTTCTGACTGACTGGCAGGGAAACTCAGCTATTTAACCTTAGTAGGGTCGTTTGCCAGGGTCAAATTAACCTTCGTTGGATAACAAAGTAGTAGACAGTTGTCTATTGTGGACCCGTATCTCAACAACAACAATGCTTTGACTTACTCTGTCTGTCTCTGCACCACCTGGTATCCAAAACCTGCTGCTTCATTTCTCAGGAACTTCCAGGCCACTGGGTCAATATTAAAACAAAGTGCAGCTTCTAACACTAAAGAAATGAAGAAGAAAGAACCACACACATTTTTTCTGATTTAAAGCCACTTTCTGTGTCATTATAGTGACATTAATAATAATTAATTAATTAATATTTTTCTGACTGCATATCTGTTGTGTATGTGGTGGTGATGGCGCAATGGATAAGATGATACCTTTGGTGTGAGAGAGGGTTCAATCCCACACTGTTACCTATCCACCATTGTGTCCCTGAGCAATGACACTTAACCCTAGTTGCTCCAGAGGTTTGTGCTGATATGAATAGCAATTGTGAGACACTTTGGATAAAAGTGTCAGTTAAATGAATGAATGTTAATGTCCTACTTTCAGAGCATATAAAGAGATAAAGAAGCCTTCTACAGCCACTGATGTGGTGTGAATTGATGTATGCCTTGTATTGTTTGGTAACACCACTAGGGAGCGCCAAAGTTAGAAATGTTTTAATTTTAAACATGTTCATTTTTAAAACGTTTTCAAGATTACATTTTTAAGCCAGTTACCTTCTTTTCTGTTCACTTTTAATTCAGATTCTCTGTAACATTTCCTACATTATTCAATATCAGAAACACAAAACAATAACAAATTACATAAATACTTAGAAAAACTTAAATGTCAAGAGACAGTACACTGCTTTCCATGACAACATGTAGGAGGTCATCCTTCTATATTTGCTTTGTCATTGAGCGAGTTTTGCTGCACAGCTCAAGACCTCACTTTTTCCTTTTTTGGCCACAACATGAGGTTTTCTAAAAATGGTCAATATGATGCAAACTCTTTGACTCACTAACAAAATATTTCTTCATGGGGAAAAAAACTTAAAAGAGATTGGGTGATGTAGATAACAATGTGTTATTAGGAAACATTAACTTCCTCTAATTGTGCGGAACCTTAGACTGACACAGGTCTGACACATCTGATGCACATTAATGCGTTTTGGTATCCCGTACATTTCAATTTGTTCTAAAATAACATCATGTTATAGTTTGGTTATCATAGTTTTTCCAGAGAAATTGCCTTCAGGTTATGCTTTTTCTTGTCACCAGTACAGCCTTTGTTTGGCTATTGTAGTCTTTATGGCTTCAGACAGTAACAGAAATGCCGTATTACAGATCATATACATTAATCTTTACCTGTCCAGAGTTACCCTTTCATAATTAATTTTATGTTTTGTTCTGATGCAGTTCTAAATGTAGGCCACATTAAGTCACTAAGTACATACTGAACTAAACTAAACTACCAGTAGCAGATAGTGTCACTGAGGTGGTTGCTTTCTGCTAAGTATAACTGGAATAGATAAGTGGTAGGTCTTGTGTTGGTCCTGATATGCCGCTCTCTTGATCTCACAAGTTGTGTAGGTTTAGCAAAGTGACCATGTTACTTTCAAGGGTGGAGTAATATGTACTGCAACAGACAGTGAGTACGGTCAATTTTTTAAAATTCAAACCTAATGATACATTACACTGCCTGTCTGTACAGAATGATGACCCATGAGTACAATGCCTCCAGTCCACTTGCAATCCTGCACAGGATAAGTGGATATACACAATTAATGGGTAGATTTACAATAATTCAGTTTCTTACATTCAATTACATAGGTAGTTATGGGCCAGGGAACAAGTATTCAGATTTAGGTGTTGTTAGTGCCATCATGTGGCTACTTATAGAGCACATTTGCACTTTTCTGCACCCATCCTCCAACAATCTTCACCAAATTTGGTACATGACATATTTGGATTACCATGACAAAAGTTGTAATTGAATTGTACATATAAAAAACCACAATTTTCCTTGGCAGGATATAGGTATCAGTCAAAAATCAAATCAAAACATTTTCTACTTAAAAAATAAGTGCAAAAGCCGTTGAAGCTATTTTGAGGGTGAGTAGCTGACTATAACGGCCAGATCTTGATGCAGGTAGTTTGATTCACAGAGAGGTGAATGATAATATGTTACTCTGCTTTAAGCATGCTAAAGAAACACAACTTACAACTGATGAAGATGCTGTAAATGTAATAAAAGGCCATTAAATTAAATGATAGGATAAGATTTTCACTGATGGCATACATGTGTATATAAGGTCGATGGATGACAAAATCAAAAGGTATAAACTTACCTGACAAGAATACTGTGGTAGTAATTATCCAGTCCATTGTGACATTCCCATGAAAAATAAAAAAGTGTGTCATATATTCTCTGAGCCCATACAAATAAATTTGGAAACTCTGGAAGCCTCTGGAAGCGTAACTACCTTCTGCAACTGAAACTGATGGAGCGAGCTGTCGAAAGCAAAATGCAGAAATCATAAGGTGACAGCACAAGGCTAAGGCAGCCAGTTAGAGGAACATTTTATAGGAGGGGCTGCAATATTGGCAAACACTTTCTGTTTTATGTGAGCACACAATGTGTTGTCACCTGATTGTGCAAAGCATAGGTATTGTTTAATTTTTAATCCAGTCACTTACACGCTAAATTTTCAAAGATTCAAACACTTCTCTTAAAAAATAATATGCAAGTTAGTTTAAAATAATAAATAACAAAATAAACCTTAGACCATTACCACAGATCTCATTTGTAGACATTTGAAAAACACTGGTGTGGTTACCTCAGACTGTAAACGTGTTTTGATTACTTTATATTTGTGACAATATTCACAGCTGCAATATATGTCAAGTACAAACTGCCTGCTTTTCTTAACATGGTTCTTTTTTGTTAGCAGTGAAGTGTTACTTGCCTACTTCCCAGACCAATCGGGTAGAGAAATGAAGTCAGGTTACACAGCATGAACACATCTGGATTGATCATCCCCAGTTTCACCACATTAGATAACCACTCACCGAAGTACTGTTCAGACAAAACTTTTCACAGAAAAAAATTCTTAAACTAAAAATGTCCATTTCTCCTTTTCGCTCGACTTCCTGTACAGATATTCACTCACCAAAGTACTGTTCAAACAAGCCTTCTCACAAAAAAAAACCCCACCTCAAAATAAAAAGGTCCATTTCTCCTTTTCGCTCTACTTCCTCCGCACTGTCGCATGCCGTCTGTGAGCCCAAAGATTTCCGTGTGCCAGTTTTATAGTTGCAGGCAGTATGAGTTTGAGGAATACTATTGGATTTAACATCTAACAACTGTATGTCTATTGCTTCATATGTGATTTTGAAACACAGAACATATTGTAGATGTTCTGTGGAGGTGCCCACTGTGAATGTGTAACCATAAATGCCTTAAACTGACTTAAATTATGGTGCGCATGGGTATTTGCACTGTCTAAAGAAACAAATAGTGGACACAATTCCGATGGTTGGATATAGATGTTTTATAATGAATTAACAGTAAGCGCAGCCTTCTTTAGCAAAAGCTCACCGCTCTCTCGCTGTGTTAGACACAGTATTCAGCATTACTTTGAAACTGACTTAATCAAAAAAAAAAACAACATTCTATGTTATTATTAAACCCTGACTGATAGATGATAAAAAAGTGACCCTGCCTATAATGTGTCCTTGTCACACCACTGCATGTTGACTCATTCAGCCTCTGTTCAGGAAGTAAACCTGTTTCTAGCTGCTGTTCACCAATGATAACGTGTACTACTGTCAGCCCAACGCAAAGCCTAATGCCCTGACCTTCTCTGTGGTGGAAAATGTCACTTTTTTTTTAATGTGTCACTTGTGACCTCTCTGTGTGAGAAAATGAAACAGATATAACGTGTTGTGTTACTTGACTATGTGCATGTGCAACCTTTGCCAAGTGCTCCAGTTGACCCTTTCTTAAGAAAAGACGATCGAGAAAGGTCATTACAAAGGTCAAGTATCTGTGCCCTATGTTGCTGTGTCTAGATTAGATTTCTAAGGCCAGGTTAGCTAAGTTGTCACATGCTCGCCTAGCCTCTGTGTGAGCATGTGTGTGTGTGTGTGTGTGTGTGCTATTACTACATACTGCAGATAACCCAAAGTTATCTTCCTTCAAATACCCTTTCAAATGACCTCCATTTGCTGAGATGCTCTTCAGTTGTAACAGCTAACTTTAAACTAACTGCACTTGAATAGTGAATAAAATCTACACTTTAATTAATTACAACAATACATGAAAGTGAATTAAACTAGGATGTACAGGGATGTGTTGGAAGATGCATTTTTTGTTTAAGGAGAATGTAGGGGAACACTTAGTGAGGCAAATTTCTGGCTAATTGTGTCCATCCTATCTACTTACTTATGTGTACTATTCCTTCATACAACATTTCTACTTGTCTTTCTCCTGTATTTCCCACCCTAACTTTCCCTCACTCACTGTCGTTTTACTTGCCATTCATTGAAACACTCTTTGCCCTTTCACTAGCTGCTCACCACCGTGTTTCTCCAGCCCCAGTCTCTCTGAATGTCACGAGCCATCTCTGGTTGCGTCCTGTTCTTTTTATAGCTGAGCAGCTGAAATGTGAGGGGTCACAATGGGAGGATAAATACAAGGGCCAGCAGACTGGAGGGTTGTCGCAGACTAAGGCAGGATCTTCTCCCTCCCTCTCTCCTTCTTCTCTCAGCTCTCCTTCTAACCTCAAAGGTAAAAGAAAATGAACATTTGATTGACAGATATGGGACAAATGCATTACTTTAATTGGCTTTTTGTGCAACTGGTTAAATATATTCTAGCATGAGATGCATGACCCTAAACCTAAGAGACTGTTCTTGTAGCTCAAACACATTTGTGGTTACTGTGAAAGCTAGAGCTATGTGACCCACAATCTTTTGACTTTCATCTGACACACTAAAAAACAGACAGACAGATAATACATTCACGGTTCAGCAATGAATTGCTTCACTTGCACTCTAGTTTAAAAATGCATGACAAGTCTCCCTCAGCATTATGCACATTCACATGCAGCATATTATTGTTACTCAAACACAGTAGTTGCTGTTCCACAGCCTTTTAGCTCATCTATCTTCATTGCATCACTAGTAGTTGATACTGCCTTTTTTATCTAATGCAAAGATACATTTGGATGGTTTCCGAGCAGTCAGTGGTGGCTCAGTGATTTGAATAAGCTCTAAATTAGCTCATGCTATCTAGTTGATAATCTTTTACTGTACATGAGTTGTAAACAGTGGGATGTGAGGCTGCACACTTCTCTTAAATGAAATGCCTTGTTGCTGAGCCATAGTGCCTTTATTGCCTTGCAGCAGTACACTCTTTATATTTAGTCCACCCTATTGATAGTGGAGGCATATACAAGGGGAGAGAGGAAGGAGTGTGTAGAGGAGGTGTGGGATAGAAGAGCAGGGAGGAGGAATGGGGAGGGAAGGGGGCAGTGAAGGGGAAGGAAAAGGTCAGGGATAAGAGGCTAGAAAATGGAATAGGTGACACGCATGCTTGTCATGATTTCAAGGGTGGTCAGATATGTGAAGGGTGGAGACAGGGGAGGGTGGAGGGCTCTCTGACACTGGATCCCTTGTGCCGCTGCATATTGTGCCTGGGAAAAAGTGTGTAACCCCAGTGCTTTATGGTATTGGAACAGTTATAGCTGCAACACCTGCAGTCACACAGTCACAGATGCAGACATAGGCACATAATAGCCAGCCTCTACTTTTACCACTTCCTTTACACAGTGAACCAAATGTTCCGTCATTCTAACATGAATCAGTTTCCCATGTATTTACAATAATAACCACAACCTCAAAACTCAAGCATTGCAGCTGGTTTTTGTTGAACTTTTCCCCTTGTGCCTTTGCATGGTTTTAGGTCTGCATAAATGGTGAAACCGGTACTTCTATAGCGGTTGTCTTCCAACCACTCAAAGCGCTTTACACTTTCGTGTTCACATACATTCATACACTAATTGTTGAGGCAAGGTCCCAACTGCTTATCAGAAACTGACTCACACACTGATGACACTGCCTTTGGGAGCCACTTGGGGTTCAACTTATCTTGTCCAAGGACACTTGGCTGAGGGAAGCCAATCTTCCGATTAGTGCCACAGCCGCCCCTGTAAGTCCCTCAAATGTTTCCTTCTCTCATCTCATCCTTTGTCTTCCTTCTCCTCCTCAATAGAGTCAGGATGCCTCACGCATACCCCTTCCTCACTCCTGAGCAAAAGAAAGAGCTCTGCGACATAGCTCAGAGGATCATCGCTCCCGGCAAAGGAATCCTCGCCGCAGACGAGTCCACCGGTAAAGAATTTTAGGATTTGTTTTTTTATTTTTATAATTAAAAAATCATCAATCAGTCATTTAGGATTGCCAACATTTCTCTGAAAATAAAATAATCTATATAGAATAAATAAATCTATAAAGCACACAACAGCAAATATGTATGTGAGAAGGAAGTTCAATCATTAACACAGTTAGGATATGATTATGACAGGCAATGTAATTTTTTTTCAGAACTAAAATGCAAATATCTGCAAATGCTCACACAAACACACCAGTACAATCCACAAATGGATCCAGTTTTCATCTAGCCTGTGTCTCCATAATCTATAGGCAGCGTGGCCAAGCGCTTCCAGAGCATCAATGCTGAGAACACTGAGGAGAACAGGAGGCTGTACCGCCAGCTCCTCTTCACTGCTGACGAACGTATCAACCCTTGCATTGGTGGTGTCATTCTCTTCCATGAGACCGTGTACCAGAAGACCGATGATGGCAAGCCATTCCCCCAGTACCTCAAGGGAAGAGGCATGGTGGTGGGCATCAAGGTTGACAAAGGTGTTGTCCCCCTAGCCGGAACCAATGGCGAGACAACCACCCAGGGTGAGCTAAGAACAAGTTTAGACACAAAGAGGGCAATGCGTCAACATCTTTTAATACCTTTGTCTAACTCATCCGGTGTGTTCTCTTCCTCTTTCACAGGTCTCGATGGACTGTATGAGCGCTGCGCCCAGTACAAGAAGGATGGTTGTGACTTTGCCAAGTGGCGCTGTGTGCTGAAGATCACCCCCACCACTCCCTCAAGACTGGCCATCATTGAGAACGCCAATGTCCTGGCCCGCTATGCCAGCATCTGCCAGATGGTAGGACACACTGAAATCAGTGTGGAGTCTTGACAGGGTATCCACATAATTTTACAAGTTTCATGACAAGGACAGATCTATGTATATATGTTATCAGTAGAAAAACATGCCCTTTCATCAGTCTTTGTGGCTATTACGTTGTTTTAGTTTATATTTAAATCACAGAAATGTCTGTTCAAATACCATCTAAATCAGTGTTAGAGTTGTCAGTGGTCCCAAAAGCGATTTCAACTTCTATTCCTAAGCCGCATCAGTGCAGCAAAAAGCAATTTTTTCTTTTACCAATAAAAGATATAATATAGTGTAATCTATTTCTACTGTACATTGAGATATGAAGTAATTTTAACCTCTGATTTAAATATTCTCTAAGACTGCTGTACATTTATAAAATCAGTTGTAAATTCAAAAATGACATAACAATTAAAAACAACCTCTTTGAAACTGGACCCAGTTGAGAACCACTGAAATGATAAGTAATGAATACATAAGTAACTAACACAGTATCTCCCCACTGCGGTTCTTATTTCTTGTCTCCTTATTCTAAACTTGCCTTGATATCCACCTGTCATTTTGACTCTTTTTGTCTCTGCCTTCCTCAGCACGGCATCGTCCCCATTGTTGAGCCTGAGATTCTCCCTGATGGTGACCATGACCTGAAGCGCTGCCAGTACGTTACTGAGAAGGTCCTTGCTGCTGTTTACAAAGCCCTGTCCGACCACCACGTCTACCTGGAGGGTACCCTGCTTAAGCCCAACATGGTCACTGCCGGACACTCCTGCTCACACAAGTACAGCAACCAGGAGATTGCCATGGCAACTGTCACTGCCCTGCGCCGCACTGTGCCCCCTGCAGTCCCCGGTGAGCTCAATGCACACAATCTCTTGTTGACATGCACACATTTGCAAACTTTGCAGAAACTAAAATCTAATCAAATCTAACTTTTTTCCATAAACAAGTGCATTACTAAATTCTCATGTGCTTCTTGTACAGGCATTACCTTCCTGTCTGGTGGCCAGAGTGAGGAAGAGTCTTCCATCAACCTGAACGCCATGAACCAGTGCCCACTGCACAGGCCCTGGGCCCTGAGCTTTTCATATGGCCGTGCCCTGCAGGCCTCTGCCCTCAAAGCCTGGGGCGGTAAGAAGGAGAATGGAAAGGCATGCCAGGAAGAGTTCATCAAGAGAGCTCTGGTACGTGTAAATATAAATAAAAATGTTAATATAAAACTGTAAAAAAAAAAATAAAACATCAATACATAGTGGGTATTGTTCAGACAACTGTATGGACTGTTGGCATCAAGCATCTGTACTGTATTGTGCACTCAAAATACTTTCCTTTTTCTTACAGGCTAACAGCCAGGCCTGCCAGGGTAAATATGCTTCCTCTGGAAGCAGCTCTGCCGGTGGAGAGTCCCTGTATGTGGCTAACCACGCTTATTAAGCATGGATACTGAGCAATTCCCCCTCCACTTTCTTCCCACCATTTCTTCACCATAGAATAGGCCATGCTTTTAGGCACTGCCTATGAAAGTGTCTGTCCGCTATTGAGCAGCAACTTTACTGGTAGAAAGCAAAACAGAAAGATGGAAAAGAAAACTTGGGTTTGCTGCTGCAGCTATATTCTGAAAAATATTCTGCCTCCATTCCCTTAGCTTTTATTTTTAAACACCTATTTTAGGTGAAGATTCCCACACTGTTTTTACAACATGTACAATTGTTTGTCCCTTGGTCCACCAAGTGCAGTATATGATTTATACTGGTAGCATGAAATAAAATATTTAACATGCTGCTTTCCTTCCTTTTTGTCTTTTCACAAAATGTCACAAACAAGTCAAGTCAGAAGCTTGGGCCACTGTAGCCTGATGACAGTGACACATGTAACATTCCTAGCAAAAGAAAAATATACATGCTCACGCACTTTATTTTTGTGAAAGAAACTGAAGTGACCATGCATAATTTTACTCCAAAACTACACTTATGATTGTTTAAAATGAGCAGGTGATGCAATGAAACAATTTAAAAAAGAACAGGGAGCAAAAACCTGTGTTTTGAAAATTCCTCACTGTAGGCTTGTAGTAAACATACTGAGCACATGGACACACAGTTCAGAAGTGCTTTTATGAGTTTGATGTATGCACTTTAAAGTTCATAAGAAACCATTATGAGGTTTCAGCAGTCTGACTTAGACAAAACCAAAGTCTCTTATTTTTTGAGTGTTTCCTTGCTGAGCTGGGATACTTCAGAGTAATCACAGATAGTTTTGTTGCCTGGATAAAACATCAACATTAAACCTTCACACTGCCCTAACTAATATCCAATATCCACACCTTTCAAACTAGAATGCTGAAACTTCATATTAGCTTCAACTAAACTTGGGGAAACATTTTTGCATGAAAGGAGTGTGCATTTGTCCCTAATTACTTACAATAGAATCAACAGGAATGATACCAGCCACCAATAACTCTTATTGTACAAATCACATTTAAACATTGTATTGAGACTGAAAAAAAACATGAATTAGGGTTGGGACGATAGACAATGACTGACAGACTTCACAACATGAGCTGGCATTGTGATTGTAATCCTAATCTTAATTTTTCACATTATACTGCCCTGTGAAAGCAGGTTTCAATCCCAACAAATATTTTTAAATATACCTGCATTGCACCTGCCTCTGACTTCTCTTCTCCTCACACTCACAGACACCTACACCTCTCACTGCAAACACACCGGCTTGCCCCGCCTCTCTCCCCCTGTCTGCTCCACTGTCTCCATCAGCAGTAGGTCACCTAAAAGACACACGACTCGTCTTTTTTCCGTATTTTTCCACCCACAATCTGTTATCACGGCAGCAGTTGAGCTGCATGCTTACTTGTTAATGACGTAGCATTTCAAACAACCGAAACCAACATCTGCACCCTGTGTGTTCACTGCTGCTTTACCTGGTCTTGCTTGTAAAATATCCACGGTGATTTGTAATGTAATAGGCTACCAAGATTTTTATCGAGTGAAGTCTGTCAGTCTGTCAAATGCTGGAAGAATCATTAAAGTTGGTTTCCCATAGTACATTTCATTGATATTGATGTGTGAGTACAATGAGTACTTTCATTGTGGGTCTTGAAGAAATCAGTCATCCTCTTGCAGGTCCACTGGGTTGGCATGAAGGGCCAGATGCATCTCATGTGTACCTCATGTTGTTCCTAAATTGATAATCAAAATAATTATCATTATACAAATATTTTTTCAGTACATCAAGCCATATAGTTTAACAGTTATACCAATGTAATGCTAAAATAATAACAGCAACAGCAATAACAATAATAATAAATCCATCCAGCTTCAGCTACCTATAACACAAAATTTAAACATGACAAAAGAGATTTAGAAGCCAGTGCAGCCCAGTATTCTGTTATTATTCACTGGGTAAGTTTTCGGTTTTTGATTTGGTGATTTGGCTTTTCGCACACGCACACACCTACACTTCTTTTTCTTACACACAAACAACCCTGCACACAGCTCACACCGCCTCTTTCTGTTTCTCTCTCGCTGTATCATACAGGGACAGACACATGCAAGCAGTTTTTCAGTAGTATGTCTTATAGCCAAAACAACCCACTGCTCGCGTTTTGAACTTCTTCTGCCCAGATTCCATGTTAACAACTTCTGGATGATCTGCATGTGGAGGAGATAAAAATAAATATAATAAATAATAAATAAAAATGATGTTCAGCTAATACAATCGGAGTAAATGTGAGGATTCTCTGTTTTATTTTATGTGTTCAGTGCAGCCTAAGAATAGCCATTTAAAAATAAGCTTGTAATAATAAGTGATTAGGTACTGGAAAACAAAGCAAAAAACAACTGTGCAAATGAGAAATGTCCATTGAAAGTAGATGTCATCCTAGTTATCACAAATTTCACAATTACTGTATTGCAGATATGTCCTAATCTGCAATGACCACACATTATGTGATCAACATTGTGGCTATGGCAAAATGACTCTTACAGTGAGGAGCAAGGTCAGTGCCTTGCTCCTGGCTGTAAGAGTCATTTTGTATTCTCTCATGTTCTCACTTTGAAGGACATCCTGTAGCCCATTGTGCCATAGTTCTTCACCAGAGTTTCAACCAACCCCACATATTTTTTGGCTTTGTGATTGCCCAGGAAGCCCAAACCAATGCGACAAAGCTGTTCCAAGCAGCTTTCTCCTTACTAGTGAGCTTGTTGTGACTTAATGTATAATCATAAAGCTCAAAACCCCTCACTTCAGTTTCAAACAGAGGGCTGCAGAATGGTGTTTGCAATGGTTTCCCCAGTTACCTGCCGTTGCTTCATTTGCGACCAGGCAACAGAACTCAAAATGTACAGGCTACAGAATTCAAATGGTATTGACATGATTGATGTGTGCTTGCTGAATCCCTTATCTTTCGCCAACACAGTTTTCCAATTATTAAAACCTTGATTCTTACAAACAAAATCTCTGTCAGTAATCCAGCCGTGGTCTCCCACGATACCAGCATTAACATTATTATATTGATGCTGAATGTATTAACATTACTTTAAATATCTGTACCATTATTCATTTTCAGTCTGTAAATGTTACCTTTACTGTCTGTAATTCTGTATGTTCGCTGCTCCCCCCTACCCCCTCCCATCCCTCTCTCCCTCTTTATTGTTCTCTCTCTCTCTCTTGCGCTTTCTTGTTCTCTCTCTGTCTCTCCCTCTCCCTCACCCCAAACCGATCGAGACAGATGGCCGCAAAGAGTACAGTCTTGCCTTGCACATTCACACTGACAATTACCTTGTACTATTAAAAATACAAAAGTTTACATTATGGTGCTGAATTTGGTAAAGAAGGACTTAAGACAAGATAACGTATTTTAACTGCACTGGTGTTGGTAGCTTTTTTTTTTAATCAAATAACTGATTTGTAGATTAATGACAAGACCTTCTGACATTGCAATGGTTTGTAAACTGTGAACTTTGTGACAGTACCTGAAGATTGCCAAAGATTTGATGGAAAAAGAGGGGGGTGGAGAGAAACTGTCAGGAAACAAGACTACGAATATACAGCCACACTAAACCCTAAATGGCAGTGCTTTGAGTCTAATGTCAACATGTTGATGTTTAGCAGGTATTATCTTTACTCTCTTAGATCCATCCAATTGTTGCCAAGACACCTCACTCAAAACTACAAATATTAACCTCATTGTGGAAAAGCCGAGGGACCATTAAAGTCAGTGGGATTTAACCTTTGGATGACTCTGCATGTCAGAACAAATTAGATGTTGAGACATTGGAATCTGGACCAAAGTGCTTAGTTTTGTCAAGTCCAGTCCTGACTTTTGAAAAAAACAGCTGGACAGAAAGGAAACATTTATAATAGCTCCAACTAGGATTTAACAGAAACTTACGTATAAGTGACAAAGAACACCCTGACAGAAATTAAGTCTGAATGCAACCCGACAGGATACTTACTATTATCCAAGTCTGCCTCAGCCAGTGGCCTGGCAGGGGGTGAATATGAAGGACTGGCTGGAGTTACTAAGCAGACAGGCCTGATGTCAGTGAAATTGACATGGCTGCTGAGTTTCATTAGGGCAATGTTTTTGTTAAACAAGGTGTTGTTGTAGTCAGGATGGACAATGACCTGGGACACAATGTGTGCCACCTCATGAACATTAGTTCCAGTCTGAATCTCTCTTCCCCAACTAGAGAGTCCATGCAAGTGGAGTTCTGGCTCAAAGAACAAATAAAGATCAGTTAGCGAATTCAGATTACAGTCTTGTGTTGCAGGATAACCAAACGTATCCTCATTTTTTGCCTGCTAAATAATTTCAGGAAGATTTTCTATATTTATCCAGTAGTTCCCTTGGCAGATATATGCAAACACCACACATAAACACAATGCGATGATTGGTATAGAACACTGAGTTTCAGGTTCCTGTTGTGTTGCTGTGATAGCTAAGAATTGCTATGAAACGTTCATGTTTACATTGTCTGGGAGTTACATAAACAAGGTGTGTGTGTGTGTGTGTGTGTAAGTCGAACTTCCAGTCAAACCACTACGCCAATCAGAACTTACAAAAGAGGAACAGAAACAATATGGATAGTATACTCCTCTTACTGCAAAAGTAAACAACAACAGCACTCAAAATAAGAAACCTAGAGGAACAGAGCTGACCTAAACCATGTCAGATGCACTTTTCCCATCCACATTCCAGGTTGGGTCAAACTTAAACTGCTACAGGTCAGAGGTCTGTGCAAAATTTAGAACAAACCCTACAGGACCTGAGGGGACTAGAGAAAGAGTCATAGCAACATATGCCACTTAAACGGCCAGAGAGTCTTAACTGCCACCACAGTTGGTTTCAGTTGTAGTAGCACAAATCCATGGCTGTTCAGATCCAGCCTTTTGTAGTAAGTAAATATTGACAAACATCTTTCATAGCTATATCTACTCCCCACATGACATTTTGCTGAACAACATTTTAAGCTAACATTGCTAACAGGTCAAATTACTGTTGGGCTAACTATTACATATTTTTCTTTTACTTTTGTGGACTGTATGTTGCTAGTTGATCTTCCTGTGATGGTTTTAGAGACAACTAATCTGATGGCTAAATAATACAGTATACACTTTTGTAAATCTAGTTTCTGTACTCATTTTTTCATTTTTACAATTTGGTTTAACTATTGTTTATGGAATCAATTTTTCGGATTTGTTCTCCCTGTTATTAAATTCCATACTGTTTCAAGTCAACGTGTGTTTAACCAATGTCCTTGCAGGTCCCGCCAAGTCCCGCCAGTCTGCAGCCATGTTAGTAAAGCCTCCGGGTGGTTATTTCTCTGGTTTAACTTGCTGCATAGTTGTGCACCTAAATAGATAGTGAAGGCAGAAGACAGCTGACAGTCTAAATGAAACAATTTACTGACCTGAATGTCAAGGAGTGTGCCTGTTACTTTCAGAGAACTGAGAATTTTGTGCTGAGGAAGCCATGCTGGCTACAGATTTTTCCCCAGTTAAGCCTTTTTTATATATATATTCACTGTAAAATTGATCAAGGTGTTTCAGCTTAAAAACTTAAGTTCAATTGCTGCCTTAAAAATGTGAGCAAACTCAACTTTTTGAAAGGCTTTGTTTCAACTCGTGATGTTACGTTATTCAGTTTGTTTAATTAATGATCATTTATTGTTTGATACTTTGAACTTGATACTGTGAGCTAAAACAACTATCTATATTACATTTTCCATTCAAGGAAACTTGCTTTCTCTTGTCAAACACACTTACAATTCTACACCCTTTCAACTCAACTACAACTAACTATATAAGACATTTCAGTTCAAGCTTAACTTGCAATGCAAGTTCACCTGCTGCCTTGAAAATGCAAGTCAACTCAACTTGAAGATTGCCTTTATTTCAACTCACAAATTCAATTTCATAAAGTTGATATAGCTACAGTGTTATAGTCTCAACATTGTTTTTTTGGTTAAATTAACTTTTTATCACTTCAACTTCATACACAGTTTCAAGATAAAACAATTTAACCAAATTAATACTACTTTCCATTTCAAGTTAAGGGGATTTAAATTCCAAATTTGTTTCAGTTTACACGTAAAAGGGGCCTTGCAGACAAACGACAACAGCTAGTGATGTTACGTCTGACACCGAAGCACCGATGCTTGCTTCAGACTCATTAAACAGGTGGTATTATGCTTTTTGGCTTTTTCCCTCTCCTTTATTGAGTTATATAGGCTACGTTTTTTGTGCATGTAGTAGGATTACAAAGTGAAAAAGCCCACCCCAAAGGGAGTTCCCATCTCTCACAGAAAACTCTTCTCTGAACTGTCTGAAAACAGCTCGTTTGTAGTCCAGCCGCTTCCCTTACATCCCTGTGATGTCACAGGGAAGAAAGCTAAATGCTTCCTAATGCTCGCCAAGCGGCTACTCCGACATGCCCTCAAAAACACCGGTGGAAAAATACTGAGCTGCAGCACACACCTCTCCTCTCCCTTCCAAACACTAGCTACCTTCCAGACACTCAATGGACATAAAGTTGTTACTGTGATGTAGAGACAGAGTTCAGCTAAAACTTTATGGATGAAAGATACATTTGTTACAGACTTCCCCATTCTGAAACTCTTGCTCCAGTCTATGTTGCCTCTGGGCTTTCGGTTTCAGAGAGCGAGATCAGATAAACTCTAGGTCAGTAACCCTGGCAACTTACGCTGTGAACCTAACCTGCTTGGGAGGAGGTTTTCTTCAACAAACCCTGAGTTTCTCTTGTGCGGAGGCGGCAGTTTCCTCAGTCATAGGCTACTGTCAATAAAGCATATAGGCCTTTATGAACGCAATTACATCTTTAGAAATATTGATATCACGATTAGATAGGCTGTTAGTGTTTTTACCCAAACATGATCTTGAACATGACCGCTTTTATGATCCATCTGTCATCGATTGATCGACAGAGAGTTATCTTTGAGCATAGTGGATTTATCCTCAGCACAGAATAAAATCCATAGACTACACTGTCCTTTATAACACAGTGACTCTGTGCACATTAAGGCAGCTGTCAGGTTGGCAACAGTTGCACAACAACACTTAGGCCTACCATGTGCTACAGTGCAGCAGTAATCACTGTTTAAACTAATCTGTATAAAGCTGATCAATGAACAGTAATCTTTCATATTGTAGTCGCACAGATTAGAACATTCCTATCGTAGTTATCAGCTGGATATGATGTGAATATTTCTGAGTGAGGATGACGGTGGTGCAGCTGAAACAAATAAATGTAGTTTAAAAGTGAGTTTTTCATTATTTGCTTATAGTCTGAATGTGTTTTGACAGCATTTCATAAAATACGAAATAAGCCAGATTTGAATCAATGTAAAATAGACGTCTAAAACTTTGCAGTCAGTTTGAACTTAGACACATTTTTCATTGCAAGAAAATCATTAATAGGCTAACCTACTGAGTCGGACTGTGGCTTTACAATCACAGGTCCATGAGGAGCCTAAACTGTGTCTAATCTGTTCGATTAACATTTTCATCTTCAGTTATTGCCACCAGCATTTAGTCCTGTCAGGTTATAGCTTAGGCCTATTAAATATAGTGTGGTGTCCGAACAATAATGCTGCGATGATGTGTTGAGAAGAAATCCGATTACATCAAGGAGTTCAGCATCAATTACAAGCTCTTCAGCAGCTTGGAGAGTGACCCAGCCCGATGGCCACTCTGTCTCTCTGTACATCAAACACAGCTTATATAGGACATGTTTAGGTATCTGTTAGATACCATATAAGGGTCTGAGTCTGCAAACTAAGGCACAAATCCATATAAGGGCACAGTTCTATAGAATAAGTGTAGGCATCTGTTAGACACCATATAAGGGTCTGAGTCTCCACCTAACCACTGACCTCTGCTCTCTCCTTAAAAGGTCACTAATCCTCTATCCAGCTGCTACAGTGCTATGTTAAACTGTTATGCGTCAAATGTACATATGTTATACACCACAATAGCCTTCCTATTTAAAATGAATGTAAGAAGAAGGGCTGTAGAAGAATTCCAGCACTTTATCATTCATTAAGGAAATTCCAGCCTGGTAAATGATGAATGAGCAACGCTGTATAAAATGTAATATATATATATATCGATCTTGCGTTTTAGAGCAAATTATGGTCCGCGTTGGCACGCACACATATTTCTAGCTCCACCCAATTAAAATGAAGGCTCTGCCTTTATTTACTCGTTGCCATGGTGAATCGTAGTATCGGAGCTCCATTGATAAAGGCTTTTTTCATCCCCACGCACGCACTTCCATCAGGTTCAACAAGTGAAGTGGAGGAAATATTCTGCTTGTGGCATCGGAGCCAGACTGCATGAAAGCCATCCGGCCAGCTGCAGCCTGTCCTTGTTATGCCACTCCCCTGGTGAGGGGAGGGAGGCAGGGGCTCATCGCCGTGCCACTCGACCGGGGAAGGCGTACATGTGGGCTCAGGCCAGCCACCTGACCAATCAGGGAGGGGGGCAAGGGGAGAGAGGAAGTGCATGAAGCTCAGGCTGCTTGTTAGCCGTTTGGCTAACACAATGTGGGGAAGTGAGAAACAGCTGCTTCTTCATAATCTCAAAGCAGCTGTCTGTAAAGTGCAACACTAGGTCATGTAGTTTACAGCACAACTCTCCCCAGTGTCACTGTCGCCTGCCGTGCTTAACGTGTTTGGCACACACTTGATGCTGTACATCACACATGTACAGCGCACAACACAGCCTGTCACACACCTCTGGATGCAGGAGGAGGGACTGCGTCGGTGATGCCGTGGTCACGCACGAGCCCGCAGCCGGTCTCTGCCGGGGGGGGGGGTGACATGTGTAATGTGTGGAACGGAGATAACACTACACACAGGGTTGTGTGTAGTGCTATCCTGTCCGCTTAGAGGGCTTATATGACACAGCCTGCCTTCTGTGAACCAAGGGGGAAACCCTGGACGCGCAGAAGGACCGTGGCAGTGATGCCGTGATTATGCACGAGCTCGCAGCCAGTTGAACATACGTAACAGCATCACACACTGCCCGGCAGATTTCTTCTTCAGAAATATATCTGTACAGGGTGTGTATGTGTTCTGTCCACACGAAGCAAAACGTCCGCTGTTGATGGCTCATACACAGTTTCTGTGGGGAGGGGTGAGTGAAGGGACCTCTGATCGTGAACAGAGGGCCTTTCTCAATCTGTGTTCTTGTCTGTACTTTTGTTCTTGTAAAACGTCATCTTTTGTGGCCCAAGTACTGTCCCAATACACAATGCATTTTGGCAAGAACGGTTAAAAATGCAGAAGTGTAGTGCTTGTTTCTTTGAGCTTCAAGCTGCAGATTAGCCACTTGGCTAATGGCAGCTGGCTCACAGTGTGGGAAATGTGTGCTTGTTGTGGCTGGTTTGACTGAGACAGGCACAGACAGCATTTGTTCAACAACTTCCACAAAAAGGAGCAACAAGATTTCACACACATCTTTTTTCCGACCCATAGCTTAACTTACCAGTGGTCCGCTCTGACCGTCGAGGGTCGGCCAGCAGCAATAAAACCGGTTGCTAGATGTCATTAGCCGCAGCTAAGTTGGTGCAACGTGGACACATGGGGTCTCCCTGGTCGGCTGTATTGCGTTTTTTTCCCGATTAAAAAAAAAAAAAAAAATAGGTGAATAAAAGATGGCATTACAGAACAAACATGAAACAAAAAACACTGCAGTGGACTGGAAAGTTGGCCCTTTTTTCAGATTTACAGCTTACAGTCAAGTCCTAACAGCTGTGGACTGAAAAGCTGCTTCTCCTCCCAGATCCACAGCTTACAGTCCTGATTCTCACAAAATAAATTGTTAATATCCTCCGGGTATGTGGGCGGGTCCATTTCCCTCCAAATGGCTTAGGTTCCATAGCCATTGGTCATCTGGTTAACTTCTTCGTCACCCAATTGGGAAGGGTGTACCTTACTGTTCTACCTTTTGGTCGAACAAAAGAGCACCGATCCCAGACGTGAAACCCCGCTTCAATCTACAGGAATAAACAGTCTTTTGCTCTAAACTAATCATAGAGAACAACTGGGCTTGTCTCCAAAATGGTTGACACGCCATCTTAAGTGTCAATGAAACAGTCAAAACAAAACCGTCCTTCTGGCACTAAACAAAGAGGTGTCGGTTTTCTTCACATTACAAAGAGGATACAAACAATGGTTTAATCAACATTCTAATGCAATTGCCTGGCCTAAAATCCTGCAGTTTTACATTTGAAGAAAAACACTGAAACACTGGAATACATGAAGTTTGTTGTAACTTTTTAAAACTCAACAGCTGATAAGGGACAGAGCGCATGTCAGCTACACGTAAGCTTACCGTTAGCTCCACGTTAGCCTGACAGTAGCATCCTTGTAAGGCAAGGCAATTTTATTTGTATAGCACATTTCAACAACAAGGTAATTCAAAGTGCTTTACATAAAACCCTCAGACACTACAGAGACACCAGGACATGTCTGTCCGCAGGCCACTTTGATCCAGTTTGACCCACCTTTGCGTTTACAGGTGGACAGAGACTCCTGCAAATCACTCAGGCGCGAGATTTAAGACCACTTTCTTCACTCTGTTCAATCTCACTCTTGTAGTTTAACGATCGCTTGCCTCACCGTGGCAAGCAACACATATACGATAGCAACAGTGTCACGGTTTGGTGTGGGTGAGGCAGGGTTGAGCTGGTTGGAGGACACAAATGCAGGACGCAAGGCAAAGGAGGTACAGTTCAAGGGGTTTTAATAAACAAACAAAGGCGAGCACACTTACAAACTGAGTGGCTGATGACAGAGTCCAAAACAAAGTCCAAACGAGAAAACAAGAATCCAAAATAAGCAGGGAAACAGGGAGACACGACGAGTAGGCTGGCAACAAGGTAACACACTGTAACACTGGGTGACAATAAACAATGACCCGACAAGGACAAGACAGAAACACCAGGTATATATACACACAGGGACTAACGAGCAGGGCGGGAGCAACACAGGTGAAAGACATGAGGCTAACGAGGCAGGCAGAGAGAGAGACAGTGAGCAGAGGGAAACAGAGAGACTGACATGCAGGCTGGGGGAACAGACGGAACACAGGTCACTGAACACAAAACAGACCAGAGTGAACACTTAACATGAACTAAGCTACAGGACTGGGAACAAGGACAACGAACTAAAACGCAGGAACAAGAGTTAAGGCAGTGACTAAGAAACAATATAACAATTAGACTACCAAACCAAAGCAGTATCAAATCAAAACAGGACTACGAGCTAGAACACCAGACAAGACATAAACACTAAGGACAAGGAAACGAGAAGAACAGGTAAACAGAAGGACACCAGAAACAAATGGGAAAAACTCAAACTCACAGGGAAAAACTAAAACTCATGACAAACAGGTTAAGGGCTTCGTCAAGAGAGTGGGTGGACCGCCACACCACCTCGTCCTCACCGGCAAAATGATCCACCAGACGCTGCTTCTCTTTGGGGGAGAGAAGGTCGCAGAACAAGCAGAGTGAACCAGGGGTGAGCACTCAGCTGGTGTGCTATGGTCCGAGGCTCACCCAGCATTGGGGATGGAGGTCCACCGGCAAGACGAAGCCCGTTGCCAGAATGCCCCACTCGGGACGGCTTGCTAGAAGACATCGCTCTTCTTCTGCTCTTTAGACAGCTCAGTGCTGAAGAAAAATGGGAAGCGAAGGCCGGGTCTCACCGTTGTATATTTACAAGGTGTGGACACAGGAAAGGCCTACGCTGTGGGTTGGCGTACACAACTTTTCTCAGTTCCGCGCAGGCGCGTGGAGGGGTAAACCCAATAACGATAGCCTTTTGCCCATTTATACTCCTGCGTAGGGTCTACGTACGTACCTACACCGTAGGCTGTGCACGTAGCCATGCATTTATACTTGTGCGTAGGTGTGTCATTCTGCAATTCCACCCCCAAACGCTAGTCGGCAGTAGCGCTGCAGCGTCCACTGTGTTGACTTTTGCCGGCTAACTTCCGGTTTAGCGCTCCGCAAACGTAATTGGGGGTAAAATTGTATACGTGTGGCTGGTGTAGCCTTTTCAAATGTTACCGACCGAATGGATCACATCCTGGTAGCAAAACGAATCATTTGGCAAGTAGTCCTTAGGAACTACGCATGTGCAACTCCCATCAAAGTTCATTTAGAAACAAGATGTATCACTCCGTAGCTAAAACAAAGCCTTCAATACAGGGTGCAAAGAGGAGCTGCAGCAATGTGCAGTATGACAAAAAATATGGGTTTTTAAAAAAAAATAAACCATGTAAACCTGTTCTGGTACAACCCCTAAATAAGACTAGTGCCACCGGTGGAAAGAGTTCCTGACAACAGCGTTAAAACCCTTTCAGAAAGGAGGAAAATGTGCTGCTATTTTGAACTTTGACAGCGGTGTGTATGGGAGCTTGCGTAGTGGTGCGTCGCTCGATGCAACCGTGTCGCAAGCCATTGAAGATAATAATGCAGCATGCTGTAGTTAGTGATGGCCAAATGAAGTGTTCCAAACAAAGACTGCATATAAAAAGGTTCCAAAGCATTATTGCTTTCTGCTATTTTTTTTTTTTGCTATTTCAGCCTTAATTTTAGTGTTGAAGCTACCACCTCAAGGGAAATATAACTCCGCTTCACCATCTACCTGCATATCTAAGGAAAGATTGGCTTTAAATATAGCTAACATTTCCTTCACTTCAGAAAGGTAGAAATATTATGTTTACCATAAAAACCATCAAAATTATACTGAAGTAAAGGTATAAAAGTATTCCATAGTGAATTCAGTATGACATTGTTGTATCAAAGTTCTTGCGTGTATTCAGTCCTTAATGAATTCATCTCTAAACTTCAGTGGTTGGTGTTCAGTTATGCAGGCTGGACAATAAATTGGAAAACATGAAACCTGGAGTGGCCTGTCAAAGCAGTCATGTGTTTCACTACCTGAGTGAACCAGTGTGATTGCTTCAGACGTTATTTTAACGTCCCTAGTGACGTTAGCAGTGGTTTGTTGAAAGGACTTAAAGAGGTGGTATTATGCTCATTTTCAGGCTCAAAATCTTGTTTACCACAAAGTGTTCATATTTTGGTTGGAATTTGAATATATGACTTATCTGCAATGTGTATAATTAATAGGGTTGGGCAAGTACACCACCACTATAGGTATCTGTATCTGTTCAGCAAATAAAATTTTCTGTATCTCTATAGGCGGGGCTTAACCATGAAGTGAGCGGGAATAACTGGAAGTTATGAACGCCTTAAATTGGTATCAGATTGCTATATTTATAAGAAAACAATTTACATAACAGCCTCAGAATTGATCCTTCGCTAACCCCCGCCCCCCTTAGTTACTGTTGCAAAGTCTGACAAATTGTCAGCGCTGCCACTGTCTATTGCTGCACTGCGCGGAGAAATATTGTCAAATTTGTTGGAAAAAGCGATCTCACAAACAAGCAGACAGTTTTGCAGTTGCATTATACATTTGAAGGTTTTATTCAGGCTGTCAAACTGAATCAAATTGACTTAAACGGACCTGAAAAAAAATTAAAGATAGAAGCTAAAGCCTACCAATCACACCTACAAGTGAACCACCCCATTCCCCAACGATTGAGACAAAAGACAGCGATATTAAGGATCAACACTGTTCCTGTAAAACTGGATAGGCCTCTATTCATTATTACAATCTGCAAACATTAGGAATGATCCACAGCCAAATTTGTTGTAGATTTATTTTATTTTAGTTTAGTTGGTTAGTTTTGGAAAGAGAATAAATCGTAGTTCTCCTTTCAGCCTCTCTGGGTAGCGACTGTAATTATTACAAGTGCCCCAGGAACAGTGTTTGACCATATCTTGGAAAAATAACGTTACAGCAAAAAAAGCTAGAAAACGACTCCTTTTGCATTAGAGTCAATGGAGCGCAGCCATGAAAGTGTCGAACCTCAGTTAGAGCGAGTCCTATACTGCGCTGTGACTGGTCAGCTTTGTATTCGGGGTGTGGCTTAGTGAAGGGTCAATTGAGCTTCAGAGCAATGTTTTTGATCACATTAGTTGATTTTTTAAAAAAGGTTCCTATATTTATAGTATATAACAAAACAGATATTGACACATTTTACTCTGATGATACTCATACTCGTAAAAAGTAAACAGGATAATCATTTCATCAGAGTACTCGCTCAACCCTATTAATTACTTGATTATGTGTATGTTTCTCTCAAACTCAAAAGACGCAGCACCTAGGCAAAAGTCTCAAATTGTCAATACATTGAAAGAATGCAAGTTTAACTTTCTACAACTCATACAGCTGAGTTCAAAATCCAAAATTCGTCAGGGCTATTTGAGTGAAAAAGAAGTAAGTTAACATAACTAAATTGTTCTGTAATGTTTGACAGTGTTCTTTATGTTTATCAGAGCAAGAAAAGTTAGACTCCTGTAATACAGATGTAAACAGGCAATAGTTCCTAAATGTATGTTTCAATAACATCATTCCAGCTCTGCTGCATTACAAGTTCTCCCAACTGAGTGTGCCTGACTTCAGCTTGGAAAACATGTCTCTGACTCTCAGATCATCAGTGCCAGTTCCCCTCAAGGCTGCATTCTTTCCTTTCTTCTCTTCTCCTTGTATACCAACAGCTGCACCTCCACTCACCAGTCTGTCAAGCTGCTGAAGCATTTACATCAACAAGAGCAGGCTGTGTGGAACAAAAAAATGTGACAGCACTTACCTTGAGTTTTTGACCCTATAGAAAAGAGAGAAAGTTAGAAAAAACAGTCACATCTGTACGTCTCAAAGTGTGTGTGTTCAGCTGTATCTTTCCATTGATAGGTATATTGATAACATAATGGTGTAATATTATGAGTAACTACAGACCAGTGGTCTGTATGGATTTTTCAATGACTGATGGCGATGTGATATTTAGAGAGCAGGGCAGCCGATGGCCGCTATATAATGTAGACAAATCTGCCAGATATCTGGAATTTCATTACTACTACAAACACAAGGAGGCACTAGAGTTCCAGGTGTTTCATCTAACTCGTTCTGAGGTGTGGGATGGGCTGTACAGTAATGGGCACAATAAAATTTTTAGTATTTTAATTAAAAAGTCATTTAATAATTGCAAAGTGACAGGAATACAGGGGAAGGGGGTGCAGCTGAATTATTTAATTACATAAAATGCAGGTACAAATGCTTATGGGATGTTGGGGCAGGCAAGGGTCAAATCAGGCGGTCGAGCACAGGCACATAAATCGAATAACAAACAGGCAGAAATCCAAAGTCCAATAGCAGGAAAAAAGGTCAGGCAGTTAAAACAGCTTCTAGGTACAGGTCTCAGGTAAACAGAATACAGGTGCAGAGGCTGGAGAGCCAAGACATGAAGCGCAAGGTCACATAACTGATCTACTAAATGATAACTAATCTGTCAAGGATAGACAGGAAATGGTCCAGTAAAGTATTTGCCGGGCTGATGAGGGAAAGTAGAAACAGATAAGAGAGTGCGCAGTGGGACAAGTATCTGCAGAGCAGATGAGGGAAATGAGAGGAGGCGTGTAAGGGGAGAGGAGAGAAAGTCAGAGGGTAACTGGTGGATTAGTGCAGAATGACGACTGTGTTTGAGGAAGTGAGAATGAGGCTAGAGGGAGGGACAGAGAGGCAAACATTGACAGTTCCTGAATATCTCAGAATTTAAATGATAATGGACAATTACTAGAGAACAGACCGAGACATACTATACTAATGAATCATTATATAATAATTAGTTCATATGTATCTGAGAATCAACACACTGACCACTTTCTTCAAGAGTAGTTCCTGAATAATGTTAACGCTATTGTCCTGCTGTATCTGAGAGGCTATCTGGTATCTTCCCAAGTGGGCTGTTGCCCTTTGTTGATGTCTTCATGGTCCATATTCAGGAACTGTTGATTCAACTCATTTTTGCCCCCCTCATTTTTGTAATATTAGGGGTGCTTCAAACTGTTTCTGGGGAGGATCAGTGAATGAAAGTGAATTTCTTTTTACATTTATTATTATATCAGTTATCAAAACGAGATCACATAGGAAATCTATGGGATCAAATAACATAATCATTCTACTTTGTACTACTTTTTACATCCATGTGGTTGAACATTACCATCTCATCTCGCTGCCTCGCAAACTGGGCCACACCCAACCTGTCATGGCAATCTTGTCATCTGCTTATTTAAAACAGAGGATTCATTGGTTTGAAATAATGCACCTCAGTCAGTCATGCCACTGTTTACAGTGACCATTCCCTGTTCAAACCCATTTTTCTTAATACCTCAGCTGCATATTATTCAACTCCATCCACAAAAGCCCAAATGCAATTCCTCAAAATACTACCGTAATTCATTTCTCAATGCATTTCTCAATGCTTCTTTCTTTCTGAAACCGTGTACAGCATGGGTTTTGTGGAATTTATTACTGCATGACAACATACAGATTTTTTTTAAAAACCTTTGTCAGCAGTTATTACCCTTGGTATGCTGTCATACAAGTCCTGCCAGTGTGTGGTCATGGTGTTATTTTTGGTATTACACAGTGTACATTTATTTTTACATCTGCTCTCAACATCTTCCCTCAGATTTCTCAGTGATATTTGATTTGGTTTTTGGAAAGCCACTGAAGGGTTTTCACTCTCGTGTTTTGCTTTCAGAATAATATATATTACATTCATGGATTCTAATGAATGATGCATCAAAGTGTAAGCACCATTTTGATGTTGATAAGGTGGGGCAAATTTAAATTCTGTTAGATGGTGTAATCTAAAAAAAACCACATCATAGTTTTGAATGTAAATAAAACAGCTTAGGAAAAGTATTAGCTTGATGTAACCTTTTTAAAATTTCCCAATCACAGGATTCTTAAGATCTAAATTAATCATTTGACATTTTTG